TATAATAATAATTTAATTAAATTTCTTAGAGGATACGTCATTTGCCAAAATCACTCTTATCTTAACAGGTACTAGCCCCGCCCACCCACCCTCTCTTTCTTGGAAGGTATGTTATTTGCCAAAATTAGTCTTAACAGGTACAAACCCCATCCACCCGCCCTCTCTTTTCTTAGAGAGTATCTGATTTGCCAAAATCTGTCTTATCTTAACAGGTACAAGCCCCGCCCACCCACCCTATCTTTTCTTAGAGGGTATGTCATTTGCCAAAATCAGTTTAATTTAGAACCCGAAGATTGTTTTAAATAAATTACTTTAAACAATTTTGGGGTACTTCGGTGTTCTATTTTTGGAAAATTCCTACCTGACTGAGTTAATTTTGGGACACCATTTTTTTTTTTTTTGATTAATTTAAAACAGTTTTGAGGTTTTTGTATTCCTCATTGGAAAGAATTTGGAGGTGTTTTGGAGCCTCTAGTACATTTGCTTATAATAATTTAACTAAATTTCTTAAGAGGATACGTTATTTGCCAAAATCACTCTTATCTTAGCAAGTATTAGCCCCGCCCACCCACCCTCTCTTTGTTAGAAGGTATGTTATTTGCCAAAATTAGTCTTAACAGGTACAAGCCCCGTCCACCCGCCCTCTCTTTTCGTAGAGAGTATCTCATTTGCCAAAATCAGTCTTATCTTCGCAGGTACAAGCCCCGCCCACCCACCCTCTCTTTTCTTAGAGGGTATGTCATTTGCCAAAATCTGTTTTGTCTAGAAACTCAAGATTGTTTTAAATAAATTTCTTTAAACAATTTTGGGGGGCTTTGGTGTTCTATTTTTGGAAAAGTCCTACCTGACCTGTTTTTGAGTTAATTTTGGAACACCGTTTTTTTTTTGAATAATTTAAAACAATCTTGGGGTTTTATGCATTTCTGTTTGGAAAGAATCTGAAAGTGTTTTAGAGTCTCTAGTGTATTTTCTTATAATAATTTAATTAAATTTCTTAGAGGGTACGTCATTTGCCAAAATCACTCTTATCTTAGCAGGTATTAGCCCCGCCCACCCACCCTCTCTTTTCTTAGATAGTATCTCATTAGCCAAAATCTGTCTTATCTTAGCAGGTCCAAGCCCCGCCCACCCACCCTCTCTTTTCTTAGAGAGTACATCATTTGCCAAAATCAGTTTTATCTAGAACCTCAAGATTGTTTTAAATAAATTACTTTAAACAATTTTGGGGGACTTTGGTGTTCTATTTTTGGAAAATTCTGACCTGACCTGTTTTTGAGATAATTTTGGTACACCGTTTTTTTCTTGAATAATTTAAAACAATCTTGAGCTTTTATGTATTTCTGTTTGGAAAGAATTTGAAAGTGTTTCGGAGCCTCTAGTGTATTTTCTTATAATAATTTAATTAAATTTCTTAGAGGATACGCCATTTGCCAAAATCACTCTTGTCTTAGCAGGTATTAGCCCCGCCCACCCACCCTTCTTTTTTTGGAAGGTATGTTATTCGCCAAAATTAGTCTTAACAGGTACAAGCCCCATCCACCCGCCCTCTCTTTTCTTAGAGAGTATCTCATTTGCCAAAATGTCTTATTTTACCAGGTACTAGCCCCGCCCACCCACCCTCTCTTTTCTTAGAGGATATCTCATTTGCCAAAATCAGTTTTATCTAGAACTTCAAGATTGTTTTAAATAAATTATTTTAAACAATTTTGGGGGATTTGGTGTTCTATTTTTGGAAAATTCTGACCTGACCTGTTTTTACGTTATTTTTGTGATCCCGTTTTTTTTTGAATAATTTAAAACAATCTTGGGGTTTTATGCATTTCTGTTTGGAAAGAATCTGAAAGTGTTTTGGAGTCTCTAGCACTCTCTAGTGTATTTTCTTATAATAATTTAATTAAATTTCTTAGAGGATACGTCATTTGCCAAAATCACTCTTATCTTAGCAAGTACTAGCCCCGCCCACCCACCCTCTCTTTCTTGGAAGGTATGTTATTTGCCAAAATTAGTCTTAACAGGTATAAGCCCCACCCACCTTTCCTCTCTTTTCTTAGAGGGTAACTCATTTGCCAAAATCAGTCTTATCTTAGCCGCAACTAGCCCCGCCCACCCATCCTCTCTTTTCTTAGAGGGTATCTCATTTGCGAAAATTAGTTTTATCTTAGCAGATACTAGCCCCGCCCAGTCGCGATCTTTTTTCTTAGAGGGTAGTACTTGCTAAGATAAATCTTATCTTGGCAAATGACATATCCTCTGAGAAGAGAAGAGGGGTGGGTGGGCGTGGCAAGCACTTGCTTAGATAAGAGTTATTTTGGCAGACGCCATACCGTCTGAGAAAATAGAGGGAGGGTGGGTGGGGCTAGTATTTGCTAAAATAAGGTATATCATTTGCCAAAATCAATCTTATCTTAGCAGCCACTAGCCCCGCCCACCCACCCTCTTTTCTTAGAGGGTATGTCATTTGCCAAAATCTTTTATAAAATTAGATTTTTTCCTAATCTACATCATAAAGAATTTTTACTTCCCGAGTGTAAGCTAAGGAAGTAATAGCAATCGAGTCCATCGCCCGAATTGCCACTTTTATATTTTTTCGACGTGTCACGACCTCTGGACTACGAAAAAAGTAGTCGCCCGTTTCCGTCTGTCTGTCTGGTGTCTGTATCCATTTTTATTAGACAAGTAATCTCCGAAACTACTAGACCGATTGTTGTCAAATTTTGTGTGTATATTAGTAAGTTTTTTGAAATTCTATAAAATAAAATCCTCCTGGACTTGTGAGGTGTAAACCAGTCTCGAATTTTCACCCCAGACATCCAGAATTTTTGGAAAAAATTCAAAACTGAATAACAATATTTTGTAATTTAACTCTGAAACTGCAAACTCGAATCATGTAAAAATCATTTTAAGGATGTCGTAATCATGGTAAATTGTTAAGCAAAATTTATTCGTTATCCCCTTCCAAAAATTGATGACGTCGTCTCAAAATTTTGCCGAGTAAATCCTATCCAAAATGTGCAAAATATGATGAGGCTATAGTTGTGATTTATCATTGCGTTAAAAATTTTTAAATTTCTTGTACAGAGTGACTCAGAAAAATTAATGAAAGAGTCAATTTATTTTATTGATTAAATCACGAACGGCTGCCTCCGTTATGTTTTACTTTCTAAGTCTGTCTTTCAATATACTCTGTATTTCATTTTTCATTACTGTATCTTACACTTTTTTTGTCCTCATTCTTCTAATATGTCGATGTGTCACTTAAAAAAGTAAAAAATCGCAGTAACTATTAACTTTAAATATAGAAAATACTTAGTAAAAAAGAAAGAGAAGAAAAAATAGAATAAGATAGAGTAATAAAATAAAGGGTCTTTTATTTAAAAAAACACTATATGAAAATGTAATCTCATTTAATTACACCAATGTGCGTAGCTTCATCTCGACACAAAATGTTGCATCATAAATTTTAAAAATAACCCTACTGTGATTTTTTATGGACCTTTCCATTGCTAAAAAAATTAAAGATTTCAAAAATAAACTGTGGTTGTAAGGCCTAAAATGAGGGCAATTAAAACATATATGTAATGAATAATGGTACATATATCGGGTGTCTCATTTAATAAAACTAAGTTGTGTCACGGCTTAAAATTACAACACTCTGTATAGTTAAAAATAATTTTAGGTTTTAATAATTATGACTTTGAGATATCGAAGACTCACCTTATATTCAGATGCACCAGCTTAATTACTACACAAATTGTCTAGAACATTACACATTTAACTCTTCTAATTAATTATATTGACTCGCATAGTTTCCTTCCTCTAAGTTCGCAAATGGACCCGTCCGGATGCTTTTAGTCTACTGCGACCTTTGACTAATGTATTGTTTTTAAATTATTTCAACTCTAACGCAAGATCTTCGCTAATTGCCTACTGCACTCTAAATTTAACATCTATTTTTTTTTCGAAACGTCGTCGACTATCTTCAATTTTCTTGTTAAAGTGGAGTGTTCGCTTCTAGAATCTTCTCACTCACTGTGTGAGTCACTTCTCCCTTGTCTGTATATACACATTTTTTGTTTCTTTTCTTTTTTCCCATATAAATATTGTTCGAGAACTTAGATCTAGAACGTCTGTTCTAATCCCGATTACATATGAGCAAGTTTTTGGTTCTCTTCAGTACTGGCTTATAACTCAAAAGACGAACTATTTTTTCAGTTAAAACAACTACATATTTGTTTGACTATTAATCACGAGTATTTTCCTCCGCTGGAGTCTACACAGTAACCCCTTCTGGACTTCTTCCATTTCTCGAGCCATCCATTACCAGAATTCTCGCGACTTCTTGGTTTCTGGCGTAGTTTCAACACACAGTGTCAGTGTTTTACAACCACATGACGTTACTTTCCTGCTCATATTTATGAACGGAATCTTTGTACTCTAAGGAATCTCTGTATAATTTAATAATTTTTCTCTTTATTTAAACACCTATTATACATGAAATATGGTAGCATTCACTGATGTTATATAATAAACTTAACTCCAAATCAATGGTTAATAGTAACCGAATTATCTTAAAGAACTTAAAACATTCTAATTAGTGTTTCAAATTTAGTACAACTTTTCCAATACCCTGTTCATGATAAATGTTCCTTATTTAAACATTGTTGCTTAAAATATATACATGTCGGTAACGTAGTTGTGACGTCATGCGCCTAAACCAATGGGAATTAGTTCAAATAGTCTTACTTTAAGGCAGCAAAAATATGTTACTAGAGATTCATACACTGACACTTATTCACTCATGAAAAGTCTGGTGTGATTTATGCGCATGCTTGGACTCTTCGGGGACTTGAATACACAGTTCGCCATTATTCAAGCCCTCAACACATACCTTGGAATTATGTAAGATAGAGTCGAGTAATTAACACACCGCTACGAAACCTTAGTACCTACTAGAGTAAATTGGTTGTCGAGTTCGAGGTTTCGATCCAAAAAGACATGGCTCACGTTGTTTATACTTTTATTGATAAACTATTAATTATGTAATAAAAAAGACAACTTACAGAACACCTAAATAAAACAATAATACAAACTCATGAGTTTGCCATTATTTTGCCTTGTTGTTCAATTAATAATTCGCTATATAAGACTCTGTCTTGAGGGGCCCCCGAAACCGTCCCGCAAACGTCAAAAACGGCGCACAAAAAATCGAAAAAAGTACTCATACGAATGCAATAACTTATAATCAAATGCGAAAATATACAAAACCAGCGATTCATAACCTCGCCGACGTTTGGCGTGGAGTTTCCGGGGCGCTTTGAGAACTCCTGGATAATTACACCTATCGTAGGCACAGTAATGTCTTTCACGAAATTCCGCCTCAATAAAAATAAAATACATCGTTTCATCAGACACGAAATATAAAAGAATTAAGTGGAAGAACACTACCATGATCAAAGTTAACTAAAATCGTAACCAAATCAATCTGTACCGAAACTAATGCCGCATCTTCATGAACACTATGGCCACGTCGTGCTCGTCGTAGCCCGACCGCCGGGCGGTCTTGTACGCCTCGTTCGACGCCGCCGCCACCGGCAAGTTCTGTTTCACGTCATTTGAGATATCCAGACACAGTTTGATGTCCTTCTGCATGTACTCGAGGGCCTGCTCGACCTTGGAGAAGCTGCGGTTGTTGATCAGCTGCCCCTTGTTGGACAGGTAGTTGGACGCGCCCTCCGACAGGTTGAAGATCTCCAGGAAGTCCTTGCACGACAGCCCGCACCGCTCCGCCAGCACCATGCTCTCGGCCAGCCCGGCCAGCCCTATCCCCAGCGCCATATTAATGCACAGGTTCATCTTGGTGGCCGAGCCCACCGTTCCCAGGTAGAACGCCGTCTTCCCGATGGCCTTGAAGCACGTCTGGCAGTCGTCGAAGAGCGACTTGTCGCCGGCCGCCAAAATTATCAGACTACCCTCCTCGGCCTGCTTCTTGCTGCCCTGCATCTGCGCCTCGAGGTAGCGCCCGCCCTTACTCTCGATGATGTTGCAGATGTCCTTGGAGGTGTCGGGGTCGATGGACGTCATCTCCACGTAGCCTTTGCCGGCGAGGGCGCTGCAGCCGTCGGCCTGGTGGATGACGCCGCAGTTGCCGATCACGACCTGGGGGCAGGGGAGAATTAAGAGGGGCGGGGTGGGGGCAGGGAACACGCTTACCTCCTTGGCGGAACGGGGGTCCGCTAAACAGCTAAATATTACGTCCGAATTTTGTACTACGTCGCAGGGTGTTTGGTACGTTTGAACTAAACCTAGTTGGTTGGCGTCGGCTTGTGCCTTGATCTCGTCGCACTGGAACAACAAATTCCAAGTTAGACAGGAAGGATAAAACCGTGAAGAGTGTGCGATGTTTTTGGCACAGGTGAACATTAGTTGTACAGTGCTATATAACATACCAAAGTCATCACTATTGGTGACTCAATCTGTTCTATAAGTAAAATCTACCAAGGAAAATATGGTTAGTTTATCTGTTAGGCTCGTTTTGTTGAACAATATGTTTTGTAAATTATTTGAAGGTTATGGCACTCCTTGATGTAGCATTATTGTGGTCAGTAAATTAAACCAGAAAAGAAACAAAACACACTCATTACTACTACAGTAGAATGATCGTAAAATGGTAATTTAAAAGTCATTAACAAAAATTAAAATTTCTTGTTATTGATGACAATGGGGAATCAATGCAAATATCCAGGATCGTGTTTTAATGTCAAATGTATCTGTATATGTTTATACGTGGGGTAAATTTTTTCTGTTTTTAAGGTTAAAACATCTCCCTGTCGTCAAAAAAATAAATAAATAAATAAAATTCTTCACATAATCAGATTGTTGTTTTTTTAAAGTTAAGAAAAATACTGAGAACCTCTCTTTTTGTGCTTGTCACAACTCCATTGAATCATTCGAGTGGATTTAGCTAATAGGAACGTTAGGCTCGTTGATCACACGCTTTTATTAATGAACCCGTCCGGCGATTCGAAAATGTCGCTAGTTGTATTTTTGGGTTTACCGAACTGCGCCGATCGTCTTAAAATCATTATGGAAAGTCTTACTTCTTTTTCTTTTCTTTTTTTTTAGGTGATTCATTTAGTTATCAAGTTCAAGGGTGATTTTACGTAATTCGCGTTTTTCTGACGTTTCACAGTTTGTAGAAGAAGAAAATGTTCGTCTTTTTTTCCGTCGATTTAAAAATTTTGTGCCATTATTTTTTTGAATTTTCGCTACTGCTTGAAGGACTGGTCAAAAATTAATGGCAGATCGTAGTGTCAAAAAATGTTTCTGTAAAATAAACTTTCTTCCATTTTATAATTTTGTTTAAAGTGTTCTATTAATTTTTTTAAATGTTATATTTTACGATATATGCAGTTTTATTGGTACTGGGAATTTTTTTCGCACCACGTTGACATTTAAAAAAAAGTCAAAAGGTATTTCGACATGACTTCCCTTGCCTTGAAGTACAGGCTAACAAACTGTTGTTTTTTTTTCGAAAAATTATACCGGGTGTCTGGAAAATGGTAGATTAACTCTTCAGTACGTCATGTACGGGGGGTTTAAACACTATAGAAGATGTTCAAAGTCATGCTTTAATGTTTAAGTAATGTTTCCAAATTTTGATAACATTTTTTGTACAAGTTAGTCATGAGTTCTTGCTACGATAAAACTGATTTTGGCAAATGATATATCCTCGAAGAAAAGAGAGGGTGGGTGGGCGGGGCTAGTACTTGCTAAGATAAAACTGATTTTGGCAGATGACATAACCTCTAAGAAAAGAGAGGGAGGGTGGGCGGGGTTAGTACCTGCTAAGATTAGACTGATTTTGGCAGATGACATAACCTCTAAGAAAAGAGAGGGCGGGTGGGCGGGGCTAGTGTTCTGTTTGTAAGGCGTAACACACAACTTAATTTTTTTAAAGAAGCGCAACCTATACACATATATATTTATATTTTTTAATTGCCCTCTTTTTAGGCTTTACGTTGGCCTGTTTCATTATTTTAATTTATTTAGCAAAGTAAGGGTTAACAAAAAAATCATAATAGGTTGATTTTTAAAATCTTTGTTACATTTTGTGGAAAGGTACGCGCTTTGTTGTGATATTATAAATCAGAATCAATTGTCATATAAGTACAGAGTGTTGTGAAGTTCTAGATTTTTTTTATAAACACTGTATATTAAAATTTGACTTAGTTGATACAGTTTCGGCCACAAAATCTTGGGCGGTTTTGTCATTCCAGTGACATAAGCTCTAAAACAGGCTTTACGTACTTACAATCTCAAATTTGCCATGTTTGTCATTTTCATGTATTGTTTAAAAGTGTCAATCATTATGAGAATAAATCATAGACTACATCGTGTTTTTTTTTCAAATAACAGAAAAATACTGCCCAAGATTTTCTGGCCGAAACTATACCACAAAACTGCGTACTTTCATTTATCGTGGCAACGTCACATCAGAATTTCAAAAGTAAACTAAGGTTGCAGATGTCAAGCAAAATATGTAAAAATATACCGGATGTCTGGAAAAAACAACAATCAACTGGTAAGTCTGGAAGTAATAGTAAAAAAAATCCTTCTCACATTCTGATGGATTTATAATTATTTTAGAATTGGTTCTTTCGCTACGTTTAATAACTAAACAACACATTCGTTATCACAATAGCTAGTAATAAAACTTTTAGTTAATATTTCTCTCGCCCATGACCATGTTTAATTACCATTTCAGTTAGAATGTACAAAGACGTGGTTGTGTTGTTTTTGTAATTATTTGATAAAATTCCATTTGACAACAATGTTTGCCTGATATTAAGCGAATGTCCAAATCAGCAAAAATCAAGTACGTACTTAAAAATGTTTGACATGCGCAGTTAATTTTAGGTCCCCTGGTGTTTTATTTTCGGATAATTAAAGGAATTTAGTGTTTTATTTTTTATAAATATTTTTGATTCGGAAGACTCTTGGGTACCCATCGTGTATTATTTTGAGAGCCCATGGAATTTTTTTTGTAAATTATTTATTATATTATATTTAAAACAATTTTGGGGGACTTGGGTGTGCTATTTTTGGAAAATTGTGACCTGACCTGTTTTTATGTGAAATTTGGAATCCCGTTTTTTTTTTTGAAAAATTTAAAAAAATCTTGAGGTTCTCGGCATTCCTGTAGCATATCCAACCACCCTCTCTTTTCTTAGAGTGTATATGTCATTTGCCAAAATCGATCATGAATTTAAGGTAACCACTTGCCCTCTATATTATTAGAGGGTGGGTGGGCGGAGCTAGTACTTGCTAGATAAGACTGATTTTGGCAAATGACGTACCTTCTAAAAAGTGTAATTAAATTATTATAAGAAAAGATACCAACAGGAATAACTAGAACCTTAAGATTGTTTTAAATAAATTATTTTAAACAATTTTGGCTGACTTTGATGTTCTATTTTCGGAAAATTCCGACCTGACCTGTTTTTTAGTTAATTTTGGGACACCGTTTTTTTTTTTTGAATAATTTAAAACAATCTTGGGGTTTTATGCATTTCTGTTTGGAAAGAATCTGAAAGTGTTTTGGAGTCTCTAGTGTATTTTCTTATAATAATTGAATTAAATTTCTTAGAGGATACGTCATTTGCCAAAATCACTCGTATCTTAACAGGTACTAGCTCCGCCCACCCACCCTCTCTTTTCTTGGAAGGTATATCATCTGCCAAAATTAGTCTTAACAGGTACAAGCCCCATCCAGCCGCCCTCTGTTTTCTTAGAGAGTATCTCATTTGCCAAAATCACTCTAATCTTAGCTGGTACAAGCCCCGCCCACCCACGCTTTCTTTTCGTACAGAGTATATTATTTGCCAAAATCAGTTTTATCTTGGCAGGTGGCAGCCCCGCCCACCCACCCTCTTTTCTTAGAAGGTATATCATCTGCCAAAATTAGTATTAACAGGTACAAGCCCCACCCACCCACCATTTCATTTCGTACAGAGTATGTTATTTGCTAAAATCAGTCTAATCTTAGCAGGTACAAGCCCCGCCCACCCACCCTTTCTTTTCGTACAGAGTATGTTATTTGCCAAAATCAGTTTTATCTTGGCAGGTGGTAGCCCCACCCACCCACCCTCTTTTCTTGGAAGGTATATCATCTGCCAAAATTAGTCTTAACAGGTTCAAGTCCCACCCACCCGCCCTCTCTTTTCTTTAGAGAATATCTCATTACCCAAAATCAATGTTATCTTAGAAGCTAGCCACCCTCTCTTTCATTAGAGGATGTCATTTGCCAAAATCAGTTTTATCTTGGCAGGGACTAGCCCCGCCCACCCACCCTTTCTTTCCATGGAAGGTATGATTTGCCAAAATCAGTCTTATCTTACCAGGCACTAGCCCCACCCACCCACCCGCTCTTTTGTTGGAGAGTATTTCATCAGCAGAGTTAGGCACAGACGAAGTGATGGACAATCAACCAGACAAATGTTAAAAACGACGGCGCTACGTCAGGCGATAAATTTGGCTGGCCGACTGTACAGTCTCAACGTCAGTGGCGATTGATGCAAATCAGGGTTTATCTAATCAAAATTATCACGACATTGTGATGTTGAACAGTCATTTTTAATTTTTGCAGCAATTTAACATCTAGGAGACAGTGGCGGCTCGTGACTGTCGGATGTGGTGAGGCGATGATAGAAGTTTGACAATAATATTAATACATATTACTTGGTCTTACTAGTTAGTAATAATAGTCTTGCCCGAATACCGGTCATTTCCGGGTCAGTGGTAGGTCCTAATAATAATAATAATATTAATAATCACACATTTAATCAACAATGTTTTTACAAGTCAAAATTTGGTTTAAACTAGCACTTTCTTGGAGGGATTCGGGAATAGTTGTTGTGTTCCTTTCTAAACGTTTTAGGTCCATTAAATTTTTAATGTGTACTTCGGACTTCGGATGAAATTATTTAAATCGTTATATCCCGGGACGTCGTATAAATATTACGGCAGAGCCATTTATATGTTTCGTACCAAGTTGATTTAAAAAACTTGGAGTACTGACGATTCTGTCGCTTATGAATGGAAGTTAAATGAATTAAAGGTTTTGACTGCTCGACATTTCGCAAAATTTGCCGACGTTCTAGCTCGGTTCGCCGTGAAAACGATGTTTCAAGAAGGAACATGACGATGTAGTACTCGGGATTCATTTTTCACTCACCTGTACCTATGAAAGAGACAAAAATACGAAACATCAACATATGGGCTTTTATTCACGTTCATGCTAATTACCCACGCACCCCGCAACCCTTCCGTTCTGTAAAATAAATGGGAAAATGGTTTAATGAGTACGCCGAAAATGACCGAGAAGCACCGAAGATATCGCCTCAGTTCCGAGCGAACGCACATAGAGGAGTATAGGAGCTGAGCCATAGAAATCCGTGTCTGTGATTGGGCTTCGTTGGTTCAAGTGAACCGACGTTCTGGCCGCTTCAGTTAAAGAGCTAGGGGCATAAATCGTACGGTATTCAACCGAAAATGTCAGCAGAAAGCGTAAAAAATAAATAATCATCTACAGATTTGCCATTTCAACATATCTTTGTAACTAAAAATGCATTGAAAGCTCTTTTTTAATTACACATTAAGTCAATCTGTTCTTAAGATATATGCTGTGAGGCGCCGCCTCACTTGCCTCATCTGACGAGCCGCCACTGCTAGGAGAACTCGTATAACTAAGGAAAACAGAGAAATAATAATTGTCATTAAGAATTTCCGAAGTTCTAGGCCATCGGACGGCAATGATCATCACTTCCGCATTGCCGAAGTCTGCTCATTAGCCAAAATCAGTCTTATCTTAGCAGTAACTAGCCCCGCCCACCCACCCTCACCTTTCTTAGAGGGTACGTGATGTGCCAAAATCAGCCTTATCTTAGCAGGTACCAACTCCCACCCTTTTGTTAGAGGGTATCTCATTAGTAAAAATCAGTCTTATTTTATACAAGTGTTTCTTTTATTTGATACAACCCCTGTAATTTTTTTATTTTTAAAGATAAACACATAGTTCTTTGAGCAAATTTGTATCATTTTAAAAGATTGCTTATATGAACAAATAAAAGTTTTACAAGGTGTGTGTCAAATGAGTTTATTGTAAGTATGAATTTAGAATACTGATTTTATACAAAAAATCAATCTTTCCATTTATGAAAAAATATACCTAGCGTTCCATAAAAAAATAATGCTGACGTCATTTCCGGTTCTATCCAAAGTGATAAAGAGACACTCTGTAGATAATACCAGTAACAGTGTAGGAAACTAAATGACACCTTATACATTTGATTAGAGATTTTTGCAGAGATTGTATTTCTAAACTCATTAATGAATCATACCTTCACTCAGCCATACTCCGCCACTGCCTTTGATTCGAACAATTACGTTAGGAAAACACACTCTGCTAACTTGTTTATATTAGGTCTAAAGTGCATAGGTGGAGACCATGATAAGAAACGGATAACAATTGTCTAAAAATATGAATGCATTGATAAAGCGCAAGGTTATGGTTTTTTTTTCTAGAGAGTTTTTCCATTTCTAAATGTTCGGATCAACATTGCAACAAGGACACGTACGTGAATTCCGACACGTGCAGTGCAATACTAATAATTAAACAGTGGGATGTCCGTTCTTCAGCGATCTTTGGGTTACAAGTCCGAAGTCGCACATTGTGCGTAATGAGCTAACGATAACCTTGTGGGAGCTTCGTTTATAATAGTATAAAAGGTTGCTATGCAATTTCGAATTTTTGCGAAAATTTGGATGTTTCGCGAAAAATCTCAAGACGGATTCATAAACCATAAGTACAGGAGTAATAGGAGTACGATATTTTTTTTTTATTTTTAGGCATCATAATACGTCGAAAAACATAACTATGTTTCTTATTTATATGGAGTCGTTCTAAAAAAAGAATGGGTGAATTCGTAATTCTAAGGAAAATAACTACAATTTATTTGTCAACAACGAGTGAAAGTAGTTTAGATCGATCACTCATACAAATAAAATATTCATACTAAAAATGAACTTGGAACGTTGTTTGTTGATGCCTGACCTTAAAAAGATACCTAAAACTGAGTACAACTGTGTCACGGCATATTTATGCCGTTCTTGTACTATTTAAAAAGACAAAAACGAAATTTTTGCATTCATGCGGCGCAGTTATCCTTCTCCCACGAGCAAACGGCTCTCGGCGCAGTTCGCACGCCCCAGTTTTTCCTTAACGGACCACAATGCAAAGAAAATCCAGCGCCCATCTCATTGACACGTAAATGCCACCGTAATGAAATCGTTCAACAACCCGCCTCACCTTGCACGCTTGCACTAACAAGCACACAATAAAACAATGCCGACAACGCATCTCGTATGTCGCATTGTGACTTCATCGACACTCTCATTTCAAACAGGAAACTATTTGTACAGTACAGTTAGCACGAGCTCCAAGAAAGGCAGTTAGTTTTCGACAAAGACCATGAACTAGCAGCGGCCACTTAACCTGGAAGATCTTTTGGTTTTGTTTCCGAGATAAAATGGCCACTTTCGAGTTCGACGAGTTTATTATTAGCCGTGGGAACTGGAATACAAGTAGCTTGCTCGGCGAAAATTTTCAGAAAACATCGAGGAATCGTGGTCGTTCTTGAATTATGCGGATTTACGTTTGGCCGCACGCCAATTACATCAAAATTTTAACAAGTCATATCAGTACAAATGTTTGCGTTTTGATTAAAATTTTCACTGAGCAAATTGCGCGTGCAAATATTTTAACACAAGCGCGGATTTATAGCTGGAGAAAAATTCAACTCATTACTCTACCGCTGACTGATAAATAGTCCGTAAATATTTTTTCAAGTTTCTGCTAGTCGCGCTGTGACGTCGTCGCTTATCGAATAATGGTCGGATTACGCTAAGCTGGAACCGATAATAATCGATTACCGATTGACCTGATCTTCGAGGAGTATAAGGTACACGTACACTAATTACACCGACGTGGTCAATAATTCACCCCCTAGTCCCGAAAAAACGCCAACAACGACGCTATTTAGCGACTATTCCACGAGGTCATTGTTTATGCACCTTGTCAAAATGACGTTATCAAAGACAAAATTAAATGCGCGGTCATAAAGATAACCAAAACCCCTTCCACGCAGTCTTCGCCTAAACAATTTATTTAAAAGCAATAAGACTACTTAACCCTCGAGAACTCTCCATTAATTCGCGTCTATAAAACATCAAATGAACTTGTTTTTGACGTGAAGTAGTTCATCGGCGAGCCGCGTTCAAGAGTTAGCGACTCGCATTTTTCTCGTTCCACTACTAGTCGACGGAAATCCATTTCATTATCAACTCGTAATCTCCTCGCTCTTCCCTTTAAGTAATTGCGTCGTTTAATAATCGTTGCAATTTTAATGGAACCACTTTCGATTATTACCTGCAGGTACGTCACGAAAATTCTTATGCATTTTTTCAAGATTCGGGTCGCTGCTTTCTAGGTGAAAGCTGTCGCGTGCCGAAAAAAAAACAAGGAGACTTGGGGACCCTAATTGAGCACCACGGTGGCACAATGGTAAGTGTGCAACGCTTCCGGGTACTTAGACGGTTAGGGCAAGCTTAATTCGACAATTATATTAATTCGGTTATTCTGAGACGACCTTATTCGCTGGTTCGGGTTTCCGCTGGCGAGATGTAGATTTTACGGGAAAAAAGTCGCTTTTTTCTACCGATTACTATAATTTTTGCACCAAGTGGAAAAACTAGTTTTAATTACTACCGTCTTCATTAATGTTTTTTGCAATTAAAGAAAATTACTTGGCAACTTGGATTTAAATGGGTGTCAAAACCGATTTTTTCATCTTCTTTCAACAGAAAGTAGAAACGGAAGTCTGTAAATTTGGAAAAGGAAGCTTCCGTTTTTGTATTATTGTTCCTATTGCTATGGACTACCATGGCGTCACTAGGAAGTCGTTAAACGATAATAATTACTCAAGAACCGCGGATCGTAGGAGGTTGTTGTCACCAATGGAACTTTTGTTGGACGATTTAGACTTCTTTTAGACAACTGTCGTACCCCAAGTTAAGTGAAAGTGGTCTTTAATGAGTCGATGTTGTTTTGTTTCGTTTCGACACTGCAGACAAAAACAGTTTTTCAAATCAAGTTTCTTATCTTTCACGAGAAAGTAAAAAATTGCAGGAAAACAACTTCCAGCGAATGGCTTGAAAATAACGATTTCCATGTACTTGCTTAGCAGAGAACAAAGTTTACCCAAAGATAAGTTCTACTAGGAATTAAAATATTGTCTCAAAAATGTCCTTTTATATTTGATTGTTTTTTACTTAAGTCTCCCGTTTTCGTCTGTCTGTTTGTCTGTCTGTCTGTATGTCCGTCTGTCTGCCGTCCTGATTAGATAGATAATCTCCGGAAGTACTGGGCCGATTATTGCCAAATTTTGTATTTATATTAGGAGTATCACGTAGATGGTAAAACGCCAACCAAAATTTTGCAGGATAAATCCTATCTAAAATCTGCACGTACTTGTGATTTATCACTGCATTAATATTTTTTACCTTTGCTTAAACAGGACGACTATGAATGCGTAAATTTATTTTATTAAGTAATTATAAGCATACATTAATTAAATTTTTGATCAAAAAGTATTTGCTCATCCCCCTTAAAAACTGATGACGTCATCTCAAAATATTGCTGAATATATCCAATCTTAAATGTGCAAAATATGATGAGTCAATACTTGTGATTTATTTTTAATATATAATTAATATTTTTTAAATTTGCTTATACAGGCGTTTCATAAAAATTAATGACCTAGTTGTCAAAAAATAAACAACCATCAGATTTAGGAATTTGACTCCTTACAATGCAATTTAACAAGACGCCCCCTACTTTCTCAGAGGGTATGGCGTCTGCCAAAATAACTCTTATCTGGGCAAGCGCTTGCCCCGCCCACCCACCCCTATTTTCCCAGAGGATATGTGATTTGCCAAATTCCGTCTTATCTTACCAAGTACTAGTACCGCCCACCCACCCCTCTTTTCTAAGAGGATATGTCATTTGCCAAAATAAGACTGATATTAGCAAGTACTACCCTCTGAGAATATAGGGCGGGTGGGCGGGGTTAGTATTTGCTAAGACAAGACTGATTTTGGCAAATGACATATCCTATGAGAAAATAGGGGGTGGGTGGGCGGGACTAGTACTTGGTAAGATAAGACGGATTTTGGCAAATCGCATATCCTCTGGGAAAATAGGGGCGGGTGGGCGGACTTAGTATTTGTTAATATAAAAGTGATTTTGCCCCTATTAATCTTGTAAAAACTTGTAAAATTTAAGTGTGCTAAATTGTAAATTTCCATAGTAACGAGTTACATTCCTAAGTTTACCCGAAGTGTGCAAAATATGATAAGTTTTTACTTGTGATTTATTTTTAATATATAATTAATATTTTTTTGCTTATACAAGGCGTCTCAGAAAAATTAATTATTGAGTTGTTAAAAATTACATATTCAATTAGACTTAGGAATTTAACTAGTTACTATGGAAATATGCAATTTAAGACCATTTAAATTTAACAAGTTTTTACAAGCTTAATAGGGGCAAAATCAATCTTATCCTAGCAAGTGCTAGCCCCGCCTACCCGCCCCCTACTTTCTCAGATTTTATGCCATTTGCCAAAATCAGTTTCATCTTAGTAAATACTAGCCTCGCCCACCCGCCCTCTATTTTTTCAAAGAGTATGGCATTTGCCAAAATCAGTCTACTCTTAGCAAATAACTAGCCCCGCCCACCCGCCCTCTCTTTTCTCAGAGGGTATGGCGTTTGCCAAAATAAGTCTTATCTGAGCAAGTCTTAGGCCCCGCCCACCCGCCCCTGTTTTCTCAGAAGATATGTCATTTGCCAAAATAAGACTTATCTTATTTAAGAAAATAAAGGGCGGGTGGGTGGGGCTAGAGTACTTGCTAACATGAGTCTTATGACATATACTCTGTGAAAACAGGGGCTAGTAATTGTTAAGATAAGATTAATTTGGCAAATGATATACTCTCTAAGAACATAGAGGAAGGGTGGGCGGCGCTTATATTTGCTAAGATGAGATTAATGTAGCAAATGATATCTCCTCTAAGAAAACAGGGGGCGGGTGGGGCTTATATTTGCCAAGATAAGACTAATTTGGCAAATGATATACCCTCTAAGAAAATAGAGGGTGGGTGGGTGTGGCTTATATTCGCTAAGTTAAGATTAATTTAACAAATGATATATCCTCTAAGAAAATAGGGCGCGGGTGGGGCTTATATTTGCTAGGATAACATTAATTTGGCAAATGATATACCCTCTAAGGGGGGTAATTTCAAGTTGGACTTGCGAAATCGCAAGTGCCGTTGCTATGGTAATTTCGATGACAGTTGTTGCGATTCGCGATATGATTCGTCGTCGCGACTGCTGTCAATCGCATCTTCCATCGCAACGGGGACTTGCCAAATTAAATCCAGCTTGAAATTGACCCGTAAGAAAATAGAGGGTGGGTGGGCGGGGCTAGTATTTGCTACGATAAGGTTAATTTTGGCAAATTATATCTTCTAAGAAAGTAAAGGGTGGGTGGGTGGGCCTAGTATTTGTTAAGATAAAACTGATTTTGCCCCTATTTATTTTGTAAAAACTTGTTAAATTGTAAATTTCAATAGTAACAAGTTAAATTCCTAAATCTACCCGAAATGTGGAAAATATGATGAGTTTTTACTTGTGATTTATCATTGCATCCATATTTTTTAGATTTGCTTTATACAGGTGGCTCAAAAAATTAATGAATGTGTCAGTTTATTTTATTAATTAAATCAGAAACGGCTCACTCCATTTTCCCAAAAAATTTTGGGAATTTAATACCTACTGGTATTTTTAGTATTACAGTGCACCAATCCAAGTTCACATACGTGTCCTTGCAAAAATGTTGATGACGTCATCACAAAATTCTGTAAAGTAGAAACTCGAGGTGCGAGGGAAGTTCTGTCGAAACAGCTTTCGACCACTTTTTTTTTGGAAAAATTGTGTCAAATGATTAAGTTTTGAACAATCTAAGTACTTTCAAAATTAGTCGAAGGTTATTTCTTCTCCCTTGACGTGTAATCTCATAATTCCCGCTCGTTTAAAAACTTACAGAACTTGATTTTATGATTTCGACTATTAGCACGTTCAGATTACCAGAATCAGTGGTTGAAAGAAACTGAAATTTGATTAATTTTGTCTCACATAAGACCCGCGAACAAAATTCGTGCATTTTTAGCAGTTCGACTGGGACATTATACTGAATTTTTTGCTTTTAAGCCGGATTGCACACATCAACGTAAGCGTATTTACAGTTTTTACAAAACAAACATTCAGCTTTAATCAACAAAGATATCTTTAAATCTCGTGAGTAGTCACAAAACAAACCTCATTTTAAACCAAATAACACAGATTAAAATCAGCCATTTCGACCTTCTACTAACAGTTAAAAATAATATAGCATTAAACAACCAAATGAAATTGCTTACATCGTTAATTTGCAAGTGCGTGTTTCCTTCGAGCAAAATCGGAGCTAAAAAGAGAGCCACGACTATTTTTGCACAAAAAAAAAATTGTCAGTCCTGTATATTAACATGAATATTAATGTCGGTTTATCGACACAACGAATCTATTGGCAACGTTAATAAATTTTCGGTAAATTAGAACATCCACTATACTTAATAATATAATGTCTGTATCGATCGAACTGCAATGACTATATAATGAGGAAATACATTAAACATTGATAATGACGAATAAACGCGAAATTATATTGGATGTCCCAAAAAAATACGAACAAGATTCCTTTTCAACCGTCAAAAACGTCAATGAAAAATCAATGCCAGCGGGCTACTACGGACGTGGTATTAGTAATGTTTCTCAGTAAAATTGCACGTGCTTTGCATATCTATTTTTGGATTATACAGGTTGTTAAAGAGTAATCATGATTGGATTCTTGTCGTTTCACTAAATATATAGCTTGTCGAACCAAAGACGGTCATAAAAATTTTGGAAACGAGAGACAGTTTTCTGGATAAAAAGTGCAAACCCACGTTCTTTTCTGTTCGGTATTAATTAATATTGTACACTTTTTAATCCCGAGTGAATAGCGAAAGCCGAGTGGGCGGTCTAGATGACAACACCACTCACGACATTGTATAACTTTTTTATTCGACGCATTGTCTCAATTTCATGCCACAAATCTAAAACATGACGCAAATTATTATTTACACCACATTTATCGTTAATGGGTTAACGTCTTAGCCGGCTTACGATAACGATTTATCGAAACAAAAAAAAACTCATTGTACAGTGAAAGTGACGAAAATCGCAGTAAATTTTTAGCTTCCACGTTGAACTATCAATATTTACACAACAGCGTTTTTAATTTGAATTTTATTAGTCATGGGCGTTTATTTTCGCATCTATGACCAAAAACAGTCGCTCTCGGAACGACGAATTTACTTCTCAAAGTGTGTTCATTAATCGAATCTGAGACGTCTCGGGGGCAACCAATCACCCAACAAGCGTTTAATGTAGCTAGTGATATTTTAATATAAAGGTCGCCCTACACCTCTGCTCTTGAAATTAGTAGTTCATCAAAAAAGTCGTCGTTTGATCGACTTTTTTTTCGGACGAAAATGTCAAAGCAATAACCATGTGTAACTTAATTAGCAACGTATATCCACGTGCCGCGCGACATAAATCTGCTTTTTGCGACGATAACGACTGTACAACTAGCATTAAAAACCGTCGATATCAGAATTCGCGTTGTTATTTATAATCCCGTCTGTTTACTAATAGCTCTGTTGACTTATCGGGTCCAATAAAAAGCGAGCGCCAAAAAAATCGTCCCCTTTTCACTTTCACATTCTTCGGTCGTCCGTCCGTTCGTCCGATTAACGGACGCGTTGTGCCCGACACCCATAACCCAGTCTTCGCTTTCCAAATATAGCGCAATCGACGGATTAATTGAAATACCATAAACCCTCCCACGCGATTATTACACGTAAAGATTTTATGTCAGCGTAAATCTCGGCGGGCGGTCGCCTAAAAATAGCCCTTCTCGTTTCGCACGTAGAAAAAACTTTCAGTGGGTAGACGACGACACCCTCGAACCTGCCCTTCAATGGCATCGCGACTTACGCGAAACGTACAAGCATGCGTCCACATCAAACGCTATCGATTAGCGCACTTCCCGCCCTCTCCAACAGGATAACCGGTCTTATCGGCAGGAAGCGAAGCCCTATCGAAAAAAAAATCGATCGCCGCAAACGGCGTCGTTGTCGATCGCGTAAACCGGGCCGCAGTGTTGCCAACCTTCGTAATGGCGAATTCCCTACATGGACGATAAAAATTCCCTTTTCAGCCTCAAAATTCTCTTTTGCATATAGGTACCTACCTATTACTACCATTACAAATTGATAAAATTTCTCTCGGATCAAGAAAACACTTAATCTACTAATTTCCTCCCCAAAAACAACGCTCCTTTCTTTTTAACTTCTTTTAATAATAATAATATAGTAAACAAACACTGTAATTTCAAAATTGACAAGACAAAGTAACAAAAATATAGTTCTATAATTACAGTACAAATAAAGGACAAAAATCCAGCCTCTTTATCAGTGTTTAAATTAATACATTGCAACATTATGTAACTGGATGGCCTTGTGTTATTGGATACTTAACAACATCCATTTCTGTTGCCTGCAAAAAGCTCCTAAAAACAGCAACAGCGTTTAAAGAACTCTCCCCAATCCTGTTTCTTTTTTTGGTCTTGTCAATGACAAGTTGACCTACGTTTTACATTTAGTACATTTTGTCTACTCTTGACCTCAACACACAACCAAGACCTACCAAACTATGTTGCTCTTTTCTAAGCTGAAAAAATAATGATTTATCAATTTTCACATTTTCTTTGCTGCGTTGTCAGCGTACTTAAGAATGCTTCTAAAAATTCCCCAAAATTGCCGACTTTTGTCAAAAAATTCCCTTTTTCCCTTTCTTATCCTAAAATTCCCTTAAAAGGGAAAATTCCCTGCAGTTGGCAACACTGCCGGGCCGTCTTGATCTTTCTCGGCGCAAAGAACAGTTACGAAACCGGGGACGGCGAGCGACCTCACCTCCGAATGGAACCGTCCGCTTTATTCCCCACTAGAACGCAGCTGGAAGTGTCGTCGTGACGGGCGATTCGGCGAACAGTCTGCCAGAGTGAGTCAGGGTCGAAGCGTCGCTCCCGTGCCGGACGCGCACCAACTACATTCCTGTGTTGAAATTCCACTTCGGCCAGTTGGGCGTCTCGAGAACGGTGAGTGTCCGCGATAACGCTTATCGTTGCGAAACAACGGCTGGGCGCTCCAAGGCGGTTGGTTTCCATCGCTCGCGACGATCGATGCGGCGTTAAAGCGCGTTTTCTTTGCAGATAGGGCTGGGGTCAAGATCGCAGGACAATGTGTAGTGAAATATGGACACGGATAGCCGGCTGAATGGTGCCGGTCGCCTGCTCGTCCTCTCGGCGCTGCTGCTGCAGGCGTGGGCACACACGCGCCACGGCGACGGCTTCCAGCTGCGCGCCCCTCCGGGATGCCTCTCCCCGAACGCGACGGACCTGGTGTGCCGGGACAGGGAGGTGAGCGGCCTGCAGCTCGGCCCCCCGAGGGTCGACCTGGCCGACCTCCGCAACGTCACCGGCGACCGCCTGGACGTGTGGAACGTGCGTCACCTCCGCTGGACGGACAGCGCTATCGTCGACATCCGACGGGCCATCGTCAGGCCGGAAAACTTGCGCAGCCTGGACGTAAGCCGCAACAACATCACCAAGCTGCAAGATTACTACTTCCAGGAGTACGTGCGACTGGAGGCGATGAATCTATCCTATAACGCGATCGACGATCTTCCGAGGCACGTCTTCTTCAATCGTTCGTTGGAGAAGTTGAGGACGCTGTCTCTGGCACACAACGCGCTGCACGCGGTTCCGTTTCAAGTGTTCGCACCGATGGAAGAGCTCGGGCATCTCGATATTTCCTACAACTACATCGCGACGGTGCTCGATCACTTCTTCAAATTCAACAGGCACATCGAGGTACTGCTTTTGAACAACAACAAGATCACGAAGCTGACGTCCAACGCTTTGGCGGATTTGAGCGATTTGAGGATCTTGGATTTGTCGCATAACTCGGTCGAGTTCATCGCCAAGGGGCTCTTCGACTCACTTAACCAACTAGAGTACTTAAACTTAGCGTACAATCCGTTCGTGAACATGCCGAGTGGTACGTTCCGAGGGCTGGGGAAATTGCTCACTTTGAACTTGAGCGGGAATAAACTGACCCAATTCACGTTCGGTTTGTTGCACTTCAGTTCTAATTTGACGTCGCTCACCATCGACGACACCAACATCGAGCGCATCCACAACAGCGAACTCCTAGGGATCTCCAAATTGCGGATTTTGAACATCCGCAACAACCAGCACTTGCGCCTCATCGAGAGCTACGTTTTGACGGACACGCCGCATCTGGAGGAGCTCGACATCAGCGGAAACTCTCTCACTTTCTTGCCGACGTCCCTTGCCAACCTCACTCTCTTGAGGAAACTCAACATCTCTGATAATCCTTGGGGTTGCGATTGCCGCATGCATTGGTTTGGCTCGTGGGCCGAAACGATGAAGAGCCGCAACATCGTCCTCTCGGACTTGAGTTGCACTTATGCCTATCCTAACGATATGTTGCCGACGCTGCACCACCTCAATTGCACCTCTCCTCGCCTCAACACCAAGACTCCGACGAGGCAGTACCGGCTCAACACGGACGCGTTGCTCGAGTGCCAGTTCTTGGCGAACCCGCCGCCGTCCATCACGTGGGTGACCCCACGCAGGGAGGTGTTCCACTGGAACCCGGACCCGGCCATTCCCGACGCGTTCGAGAAGCACCCGCACGCGCACGACCAGCTCATGACCCCCATCCGGGTGATCCCGCCGCGGATCCAGGTTCTCGACAACGGGACTCTTCTAATCAAGAACGTGACGAGGGAGGATTGCGGGCGGTACACGTGCTACGCGAGCAACCCCATCGCGAACCAGACCGAAAACGTGCTGCTGCACATCGACCCCACCGACTGGAACAACGTGAGGATCATGAGTCTGATCGTGGGGTTGCAGTGCGCGACGGCCTTCCTGGCCATCACCCTCGTCATCCAGCTGTTGCGCTACATGGTAGACAGGTACCGACGAAACGGAGATCGCGGAGTTTGTTATTCTAGAGTGACGTGCGGATTCTATTTTCAGGTTCGGCATTTTCAACAACTTTTGCAGCTTCTGCAAGAGGGATCGCGTGTCGCCGCGGGCCCGCCAGATCTACGCGATGCTGGACAACATCGAGCAGTACAAATCCCAGCAGTTGGAGAGGCTCAGGGACAACTACACCCAACAGGTAAGTCTAGGGTGCGACCCTGCCTTCTCTCACCGCTTCGTTTAGGTCAACAGGATCAAAGATAACTGCGCCCAGCAGATGGAATGGATCCAAAACAGCTACCAGAGTCAGACCAAACATCTCAAAGAATTCCGCGACATCGGAACGCAACACTTGTCGACTCTGCGCGGCCAATATTGCGACCAGGTAATGACACTTGAATTCCTGCCAGGACTCCCGAGATGAAAAATATTTTTACTTTAGGTTAAAAGAGTGAGGGACTACTCCACGAACCAGCTCAACTGGGTCCGAGAGAACTACATCTTCCAGCGTAACAAAATCCGCAAGTTCAGCGCCCACAAGGTGCTTCAGTTGCGCGAAACCTACAAGTACCAACAGCAAACCCTCAACAAGGTCCTGGAGAATCTGCCGAGTCTCTACTTCGAGAACTGCAGAGCCGGGACTTGCGGGAGGGCCGAATCTCTGGTCTTCGACCCGAACGACGTCGAGAGCATCGACGTCTACTTGAAGACTAAGATCGAGAAGTTGGCTAATCTGGAAGAGGTGACCAACACCGACGTGACGCAGAGTAGATTGTCTCTGTATTACACGCCCACGGAGAGGTCGCTGGGGTCGAGGATACTTTCACCTGGCGACCCGCCCACCGAGGTTTTCGTGAACCATATTCGGACCAGGCCGGAGCGGCTGCCGCCGTTCGACGGGGCCTCAACTTCCCGCGAGACCGTCGGCTCTCATGGCACTAATCGGAGTGGTCTGAAGCCTTCGTATAGCACCGAGGAGCTGCTGAAGAATTCGGCAACTTGTGATATACAACCGTGCACGAGCCTACCGGAGTTGTGCGTAGGGGATCAAGATGCCCTCGACGAGGAGAACGAACGGCGGGAGACGGCCTTGTAGAGTCGCCGCCTAGTTAAATCAACTGCTGTGATAAAGTGAGTAAACTATCACAGTGTAGAGTCCGCTCCATTAGTGCCAATCTATAGGAAGCTGTCATTTTTCGTTGTCGACTTTCAATTGCCAAAATAACCGAACCGGTATGTATTCTTTCGTCACCTTCATCACTGTCGTCTGTATAAATGGAGAATAAAAGTAGCTGGGAAATAACGCTAGACTCAGTATACCGAACTAGCTAGTCAAAAATAATTAACGAAGACTGATATAATTCTCCACTTGCAATTCTTAAGCGCGCTCCGCTCCTACGTCTGATTTTCCGAAATTTCTTTGCTGCTTCGGGCGCAACGATTTTGATCATTTTCACTTTGTAGGGGGCGACCGCTCCAATCGACGAATTACTATTAGGTTTCTCATCGTAGCGCCGTCTACCGTTCGTTTTTTAGCTGTGAATTTGTAATTAAATCATCCCATTATCTAATATTTTAGCGTAACGATAGAAGTTACTATTTATTCCCTAGGTAAAACGAATTCGGTGTTTTGAGTCCTAGATATTGTTTATCCACACCTACCGATGATTTCTACACTGGTATAGGGACGTTTTTTTATAAGCGGGTACCAACTAAGATACAACTATTTTTATTATCGAAAATATTATCTTGTTATTGTGATTTCATTAAGTGTTAAAATTAGCATGTATTTGCTACTTATTAATAAAATATTGTGAGAACTGTAGTTTTCGTTTTAATTTCGAACTATCGACACGCTTCGTTTTATTTGTTATGTATTATGGAAATTCATTATTACGCCAATTTGATATGTGTGGTAAAAAGGAAAGTCCGAGGCGAAATTAACACTACGTAATTACGATAACCATTTTTTCCAGCACGAGCAAATATGCGAAATACCATAAAAGCGAACGCATCGGGATAGATAAGAGCGAACTCTTGTTACTGGGCGGTTATATTTCACGTACGTTATTATCATTTCGCTCACACACACCAAACTCATTGATAGAACTGTCAAGTTCCCTTTTATTAAAACGGTCACAATGTCACCAAAACCATTATCCGTGTTTTACACGATTTAGGCGCCGTCAATGACAAACTAACTTTCATTTTATCCATATTTACACTTATAGAATAATTTTCTGCATATTAATGCGTACACAAACTCAGTGTGGATCTTTTTTGCAGTGACGATATTTGCGTCAGACCAACTTGCAAATTAATACAATACAGGTGTGTATTGGAATTATTCTTACGATTCCTATTTTTAGCAAACTTCATACGAAGGATTTAGCACCGACTTAAAATAGTGGTTCGAAAATGCTCGGCCAATTAACACGTATTCCTTTGGTCGTAAAATTGCATAAACGAATTCAAATTACTTCGGCTTAATTAAAAAATCATTGTCTGCGAGGTGAAAGGATTTTCATCTTACAGCGTAACTAACTTCACGAGTTGTTCTGAAATTTCAAGGTCGACACTCTACCGGAAGTTTCTACATACAGACAAGACTATTTTTCATTGAAGGACACATCTCGGAAGTTATTTGGGACGAACTTCTCTTGTAAACACGACGAATCATGTCGGGGTGACGTTTAGTAGGGTTAAATATGTACATTATTTTTGACATACATAATTGACACTAATTGTAACGTTATTGTGGCCGTAGGACTCCAGGGAAATTAAATCAAGCAACTTTTAGTTAATGTTCGGTGATTCCCTAAACCAATATGAATATTTTAGCAAAATTTCGAAAAGTTTGTTGTGCCACCGATTGAAAAACAGTGTAATGACGTCATTAATTTTTTGAACAGGATGAATCGACAAATTCGTGTTTACTATCTGATACTAACGTTTTTGTGTTCCTCAAGTACGTCAAAAAACAATGGCATAGGTATTCGTCAAAATAAAATTCGTAGTTGTTCACGAACATTGCTGTTCGATATTTGACAATTTTATTGTTTCATTCAATAATCGCAGACCTTCGCAAAAAAAGTCATTCGCTTTGAGTAAAAACGAAGTAAAACCTACACGGATTGCGAGCGGCTATTTAAGAAAACCACTAAAATGTGGACAATAAAAATTTAACAACTGCGTTATGATAAAGATACAGTCCATGTGGACGTAAAGCCGTTCCGAAATAACGGCTGCCTAGACAAAAAAGCCCAATCACGACATCTCACGTCGGAAATTTTATCAATTTTTTAATAAGCATCTGATAACACGATAATTTTAGCTTGAAGATAGTGACGATAAGTGCATTCGTTTGTATACAAGTATGTAATGAAAACAACAAACATTTTTGGTTGGGATGACGTCACCAAATTTTTGGTAAGGATAATAGTTTTGACACTAATTTAATTGATAGCTGCACAGTTGACGGATTAATCTTATTTTGAGATGACGTCATTAATTTCTTGGACGGAATCGACAGAAAATGCAGATAGATCTTCCCCGTGACCTCAAAACACACTTAAAATTCTTCATGGAGAATCAAACGGGAAACTTGGCATGCAGAGACATGTAAAGAAAACAAGAAACGACACCCGTTAGAATGCGCCCGAAAAACACAAAGATAAGTCCTGTGGGAATAAACAAGTTGGATGATCTTTCAATTTACTTAATAAAATGGAGATGATTGGTCGAACTTTATGATTATGGCGCCGTAATCTACTTAGAAGATTAATTAGTGCGTCGTGCCAGTTTCACGAGGGTAAATTTCATTACCACAACGGATAACTTTTTCTTATAATGCAACGAATGCTCAAGTGTGCACTTTAAACAACATTCAGTGGAAAACTGTTAGTTACACGGTTTTTAAATAAAGAAAAATGTAAAACAAATAACTTGAAAAATGAAAAATTATCATGAATAAATAATTGTGCGCAACGAAGCCGACTTCTTCCATTTAAGGACTAGACATATGCAGGTTCTTAAGATGTCAACACGCAAGTTTCATTACATAACGGATCGCAATGAATGTTCTCTAATTAGGTAATATTTTATAAAAGTAAGTTACAGTGAAATGCTGTATTAAATTAATAAATTAAGTTGTAAATGGGCAACACTGAAGCGTTAAACTTGTCGCAAATTATTATTTTTTCACTTCAGCGACAATTAAACTGGAAAATTTTCAGATTAACACGTGAGTAAACCCCACTATATGTTTACATACAATTTAAAGCAACTTTTCCCATTCAAAGCAAGCAAACTGTTTTCCCTTCTCACCGAGATAAGAAATCGCAGAAAAGCGTTAGAACTGTCTTGCTAGTGAAACTGTCTGCGCACTCTAGTTACGCCTGTGGACATCACTTCTAATACCCCAATTGATTAAATTTGCTGTCGTTTCCGGCCAAACAGCGCCCGACGCAACACACAACAAAATAAAAAAAAAAGTACATACTTTTTGCGACGACCTGTTCCATAAGTTGACCCTATGTCCAGAATTGATTAGATTCATGACAACGCTAGATCCCATATTGCCAAGTCCCATAAACCCGAAAGCCATCGATGAGGCAGATATATTCTTATTCTTTAAGTCGACGGATACTTTATTTAAATCTATCTTGGGGGAATCCTGCAATTAACCAAAAACAAAAAACTGTCATTCTCGACTACAAAACTCGTCGGTGGGTTTCGTTCGCTTACCGGCTTGCTCAAAATCGGCGGCAAATTCAAAATTTCCTCTTCGTACGGTTCCTCCGACGTCCCATTTTCGTCGTACTTGAGAGAAGGTGATGACGTTTTGGGTTTCTTCGCCGAGGTGTTGCGCGGCGAATCCGAAGATTGACGTTTATTGGTTCCACTCTGAAATGGCCGAGTGACGTAATTTCGTCCGCAATATGTTTTGCTGTTTTTAAGTTACCTTTCTTTGTTTCTTTGGAGACTGCTGCTGTTGCTGCTGCTGCTGCTGTTGCACGAGTTCCAGTTCGGTTTTCAGCGAGCTCTCAAACACGGCGTCGTAGTTTGCGTCCTCCTGTAAAAATAAAACGTCGTTAAAAATCGCCAATTAGAAAAAATCTTGCAAGTTTTCAATAAGAAAATTGTTATTATAAACAGATATGGTGTGGAATTTGTTTATTATTTTCTTGGAAGTTTTGAGTTTTAGAGTATATATTTTGACTGCAATACATCTGCACTTGTTCATCGATCATACACGACAAGGTTAAACATTCTTTTGCTTAATATCGAACATAAAACAAAAAATGTGGTGGTCAAGACAGGCCAAATTTGTAAGTTAGTTTCAAATATTTTCTTTTTCGAAACTGAACTTTCTACTTATTAATGATGAGATGTGATAACGTTTTTTTTAAACGTAACTTTAGATAATAATAAACCTCAATATACTTAATAAAGTTTCAAACTTCCTCAGTGAGAACGTTACTAAAATGAGACGCTTCAATTAATCTAAACATTTCGAGTTTACGGGTTTTTTATTTCTTGTATTGCCAAAATTATATCACTGTGTACATTTTTATTCAAAAAATATTCATTTACTAATGTCATAACTTGTAAAATCATGGCCGACTAGTATAAAGATTACGGCCTGTCCAAAGGTACCATACGTGCTGCCATCTATTAATAATTCAAAAACGACAAAAGAATTATTAACACTTTTTGAAAGGCACAAAGGCATTCATACCGAAACAAACGACCATTACAAGTTTTGAAGTCTCATAATGTCAAATCAAATTAAAATTTTGCTAAATTATTAAGTGTAATTATTAATAGATGGCAACACATATGGTACCTCTTGGACAGGCCATAATCTTTATACTAGTCGGCCATGGTAAAATGTGGTTTATTTAGATAACTTTACTGACAGTAGTGTCATATCTGTCGGATATTAATAATATCAAAGGCATCGTTTGACAAAATAATTTTTGAAAAGTGTCAAAATGACAGTGCCTAATAATTTTTGGATAAACTGTACAACGACTCAGAATAGCTCAGGTTAAAATGCTGACATTACGGTTTATAACGAGTGATCAAAAAGTTTTCAGATTAGAGTTGGCCATGGAAATATTTGTCATGTCTTTGATTAAACTGTAAATGTCAGGCATAACCTCATTTGTATTTCAATAATTTGGATTTTTGACATTTGCGTTGTAATCAAAGACATGACAAATATTTCCATGGCCAACTCTAAACGGAAAACTTTTTGATCACTCGTTTCTATCGTGGAATAAATTAAGTTTTCGAGCGAAGATCTAATGTAAACTTTTTTTTTCCAGTTAAAAGTTCTTAATAATTATTTAGTCAAAAGCGTGGTGCTTTACAAAACAGTGTAGAGGACGAAAATATCAACAACTCAGGAAAATTCTAGGCCGAGTATTTCTCTCATTTCCATATAAATGGAACTTTCGCCTTAGTTTTTCGAGTGTTAGGGATCCATTAATCGACGAAGTAATGAAAGTCAGTTCCAAGTTCTGGCCATTATATTCCACATGTTTATAAAGAACACTTAGGAATCAGTAAAGTTAAAATGACAATATTAAAACAATAAATATGTTTTTATTTTCAAAATATAATTTATTTAAAACACATCAAACACCATTAAACCAGTTAGAATTGCTTTAGCTGTTCGATAAAAAATACTTAATGCAATAAAACTAATAAATCAATACTTATTTAAAACTAAACATTAACACAAATTCCACGTGTTCTTTAAAATTATTGAAAAGATGGTGAAACGCTAACCAAAATTTGCCTATTTATCTCCCCCCAAAAACTGATGACGTAACCAGTGTTTTAATTTTTACATGTATAAAGGTAAATCAGTTCTGACTAAACGGCTCTCTCATTCTAAGTCACTCTTCATATCGAATTTAATATATTGATCCTCGACAAAAATTTGATGACGTCATCTCAAACATAAATATCAAATGTATTGTTAAGAGAGGCACGGAACCACTGAATGTTTAATAATCGTTGCGGCAACACGTGGTTGCTCCAAAGCTCACTACGATTTCACTTCAGGAGTTGCGATGACGTCATCAGTTTTTGGACGGGAAGCAAAACACAAATTTTAGCCAGCGTTTAGTTTGCGACAAAGTTAAAGCACGCTTTAAATTTCAAATACGTCGGTGCGGTAGTTTTGTGGTTTGTTTAATTTCTAGTACAGACAGTTGGAAACAAGAAACAAGAAAATGTTTGGACGTTTTCTATTCCAAAAACTGACTGGTTTTAAGAATTACCTCGGTGGTACAGAAACAAAGCTTTCACTTTTTAAAATCATACACGAAAACGTGATGCTGTGTAACAATTACTGTGAATCTTTCTTAACGAGATTCTAATGAAAATTTTCCTTTCTTATTATAGACGGTGTCACACATCACATATATATATACAGTAACATCAGCGTTGTAGACGTAACACATATGATAAGAAATGAAGAAAGATGACACTCTTGGCTGCAGAGATAATGTAGGTGGGAGTAGGAAATAACTATCTATTAAATCGAGTATCAAATGTTTAATTAAATCTTAAATACTAAATTTTGTATTTATTAATAATGTTTGATATTTGTTGAATGAAACACAATATCCTGAAGATGCCAACACTGATGACAAAACGTGCACAAGTCACGTCTTGTGTTGTTATTCACAGCCAGCGTAATTCCTTAAATACGAAATGTGCCACTTTGTCGAAAAGTGGACTGGACTATTAATACTCATATAAATCAAGTACAACGAAGATCGCTTCAAAACGATCAAATTTAAATCAGTGCTTTGCCCGACATTCTAAAACATTCATAAAGTTTTGGAAAAAAATTAAATACAACGTTTACAATCTACGCCACTGGTCTAGCGCAATAGTTTGGATCACTAAATGGAGTTCACATAGTGGGCGGCAACGTATTTTATCTAGGCCAACTGTACGCTCAGGTTTAACGATTATTCTTACAATGTTAACAACTAGAGAACTATATGAAAAATTTATCTCTTAGAAAACAAATAAAAATGGTCGAACTCTTCGCGCTCTGAAGCACAACCAATGCATTTCGGGTGTATGTTTCAATCCAGATTTAATAATTTCTCAGTGACGTAATCAAACTTTTTGGTGGGGATATTTGTGTTTATTTATGGTGCAATGTATCACTAAACACTATATGTATTATCGCCTCGTGTATTCATTCATGAAATTTGTTCAGAAACATAACCCAACATTTTCTATATTTTGTCTTTGGTAGTTACAAATAATAAAATGAAATTTTGAAGTGACGTCATCAATTTTTTGAAGCACAGTCTTATGATAACAGAAGTGTACAGACTCTAGGCGATGATGAATTTTTATCATCCAAAAATATCATGGGTTTAATTTTCTCATGGGTCCACTATCAAAAATGAACGGAAGCTTGCGAAAATGAGCCGTATTGACACACGCATGCGCACAACATTGCAGAAAGTAGTACTGAAGAAGCATGCAGATTAAATTTTGACTTTACAATGACAATTCTAATTCACGAAAATTAAGCACATTTGTAACGGCTTTTTGAAACAAAGAAAGTTGGATGAGCATTTTTTGCCTTCACCCACGAAAATTTTTTATAATCCTGTTGGCTTATTGGAATCCAACTGGCAAGATCTGCAAATTTTACTAAAGAAAGTTGCTTTATTGAATTGTTATGGTTCCAAGCATGAATTCTTAAATTTATTACTAAAAGTTTAGAGAAATTAAAATGTGCATGACTATGAAAAAAAATAATATATAGTAGTCATTATGGGTAAGCATGCAATATCACAGTGGTGGGAATTTTATAATAAAACTAAATTCCAAATTAAGATTCAAAAGCAATTTATGTTTTTATAATAATAATATGTAATAATAAATAACGATTTTAATAAAATTGTCTTTTTTTTCAGTTAATCTAGTTGCTCTTGCAGTTGTCTTTTACATAACACATAAACGTTCTAGTCTTATGGGAGTGTACACACCAGCAAAAAGTTTAAAATTGTCTCTCATAACACATAAATCGGAACGCCAGATTTCCGTGAGTTATGAACATGAAAAGTAGCCCTATTTTGCCCCCATTCAAAGCCTCTACACTCCCCCGATATACATTCAACGACTACTCACATTTCTCTTCGTAATGTAATCCTCGATGTCATCAACAGCCTCCTTGAACGTGGCCGACTTGCACAAGTTCGTGAACTTCTCCTTAAACTTCTCATAGGGCTTAATATTATTCTGTTCAATCCACGCACTACAAACAGAACCGTCTCAGAACCGCCCCAAAACCTCCCCGCGCCCCCATGTCAGAGGCCGCCAAGTAAACAATCCCCCGCCCTCAATACTCACTAGTTGTTCGAGCCGAAAAAGTAAATCCAGTGACTGCCCTTCTTGCTCTGCCTCTTGGAATTAGGCCCGGGCTTCACCACCTGCCGATAGAAATCATTTTAAGCAGGCCGCAAAACGTACGAATTATGAGGTTAGATACGAGTCGGAGGCGACGCGCGCGCAAGGCTGGGGAGGGAATAACGGTTGGGTTGAATGTCGGCGGTCTAATACTTACACGGGCTGGCCAGGGGGAAAATCCCTTCATTTTCGCCCTGAAAAAAATCGCAGCGTTAGCAGGGACGCCTCCAACGGCATGCCGCCGTGTTTTGAGGTTAGAAAAAATTCGAGGGGCTTACCAAACAAGATCTCCCACTTTCGGTTCGTAGTTCATCCTGCACGAGTTCACCCTTGCAACGTCAAACTCAGTCTGAATTTGTTGTACCGCGCTAGCATCAAAATACTTTCAATGGGGCCTGCGCGATGGGGCGCGACGCCATTGACGGGCTTCGGGGCGAAGGCGGTAGGTGGCGCCACGTGGACGGGTTTGACAGGTTGGGTTTGTTTATTTAAGGAAAAAGAGGCGGGTTTTTTGGTGTGAGGGAAAATTGGAAAATTGGGGGTTCGTGGTGATGGGACTATACAAAAACGGGACAAAACGCGGTTGGGGGCTAATTTGAATTTAAATGTTCAGGGGCTGCTTTTTATATTAGAATGTACGGATTGTTGAGTGTTGCGTTTTTATTTGGATTTTTGAACAAAGTGGAACGGAAAAAGCAGTGTCTGTTGGTGTATATTTGGTTGCCTACACAAAACGCTTAAAACGTAGATGGATACAGCGCCCTCTATCGGCCCATTTGAAATACCGCGAAATTTGAAATATGTGTAACCGGTAATCGCCTGCGATAGTTGGATTATTAAATACTGTCAAATAGCCACTAGGCGCTAGTTATCTTTCAATGACAGTTCAAATTTGAATTTGATGGAATTGTTGTATACCATCCTGTTTAAACAGTGATACAAATTTCACCTACGACGACTTTCCAACGCAAAACCTGAGGTTTTCTGTGTGAATAAAAAGTATCACTCTTGAGGAAAATTGGAAAGGTTTGCATTCTTTGACTATTAAAGAATATTATATTTTGCTCTTTCTTCTGAATATACGTAGTCTTCTTTTCACAACAAGAAACTTAAAACATGTTCAAAACATGAAATATGGATTTTCAATTACGCTCCGCCCCTCGGTCTGACAACCAATGGAATTGATCACGATTAAGATGCAGACGGATGGGTGGGGCTTATCTTTTGGCTTTTTCTTACTTAGTAGATATAGCTTTCTTTGAGCAACACGATCACTCAAGAACACGGCAATTCTTGTAGAAAAATACGGATACTGCAATTAAGAAAATCGTTAAAATTGAGATAGGGTGGGTGGGCGGGGCTTATATTTTGCATTTTGTTTTTCTTAATGTACATAGTCTTCCCTTCACGACAAAAAAACTGAAAACATGGTGCTAAAAAAAAGTAAAATACAAACCTGACCTGATCTGACCTGACCGGATCGCACCTAACCGAAGTAAACCTGATGTGTCCTGAGTTGATCGGATTTGACTTGAGAAAATTTGACATGACTGGATTTGACCTGATCTAACCTGACGTGAGAAAAATTTGTCCCCAAACCTTTCAATTCAAATCCGACTATTTCGTTTACATTCCCAGTGACGAAATAATCAAAACTTGCCCACTCCCCCTCGATCGTCCGTGTAGGGAAATATGTATTTTGCAATTACGCTCCGCCCCTCGGTCTAACGACGAATGAAAATTTCATCACAATTGATACCGGAACGGGTGGATCGTGCTTAATCCTTGTTTTTTTTTTCTTTTCAATATAGGGACATATATCGTTTTTGTGAACAACAAAATGGTTAAGATATTTTTAGTTTTTTGTTGGGAAAAGAAGATTTTGTTTATTAAGAAAAAATGTACAAAATATAAGCCCCGCCCACCCACCCCATATCAATTGTGATGAAAGCTTTATTCATCGTGAGTTGAAGGGCGGAGCTTAGCTGCAAAAACCTCATTCCTGTACAAGAAATTACCATGTGAAATGTGTTCTTGAAAGAGTAAAATTTTGCAAAGAAATATGCATTTGGAATTAAATTCCGACCAATAAAAAAATCATTACAACCGAGACAGGGTGGGTGGGTGGGGCTTATACTTTGCCCCTTCTTCTTAATATACGTAGTCTTCTTTTCACAACAAGAAACTTAAAACATGTTCAAAATTTGTGTAGGGAAATATATATTTTGGAATTACGCTCCGCCCCTGAGTCTGACAACGAATAAAAAATTCTGCATAATTGAGATCGGGACTTTTTTTAGTTATTTAGAGTTTTACTTGAACAACACGGGAGTTAAATGAGATTTCAGTTTCTTGTTAGAAAAAGATTTCGTATATTAAGAAAAAATGTACAAAATATAAGCCCCGCCCACCCACCCTTTTTTAACTGTGATGAATGGTGAGCTGAAGGGCGGTGTTTAGTTGCAAAATCCTCATTTCTCGACAAGAAATTACCTTATGAAATATGTTTTTAAAAGAGTGAAATTTTGCAAAGAAATATGCATTTTGCAATTAAACTCCAACCAATAAAAAAAATCATTACAATCGAGACCGGGTGGGTGGGTGGGGCTTATATTTTGCCCCTTCTTCTTAATATACGTAGTCTTCTTTTCACAACAAGAAACTTAAAAAATGTTGAAAATTTTTGTAGGGAAATATTTATTTGCAATTACGCTCCGCCCCTTAGTCTGACAACGAATAAAAAATTCTACATAATTGAGATCGGGACGTTTTTTAGTTATTTATAGTTTTAGTTGAACACGGTAGTTAAATGAGTTTTGAGTTTCTTGTTAGGAAAAGATTTCGTATGTTAAGAAAAAATTTACAAAATATGAGCCCCGCCCGCCCACCCACCCCCTCTCAATTGTGATGATTTTTTTTTTCATCGTGAGCCGAGGGCGGAGCTTAGCTACAAAAATCTCATTTCTCTACAAGAAGTCATGGGTAATGTGTTCTTGAAAGAGTAAAATTTTTTAAAGAAATATGCACTTTGCAATTAAACTCCGACCAATAAAAAAATCATTACAACTGAGAGGGGGTGGGTGGGTGGGGCTTATATTTTGTCCTTTCTTCTTAATATATGTAGTCTTCTTTTCACAAGAAGAAACTTAAAATATTTTGAAATTTTTTATAGGGACATACGTATTTTGCAATTACGCTCCGCCCCTTGGTCTGACAACGAATAAAAAATTCATCATAATTGAGAGCGGAAGTTTTTTTAAGTTATTTATAGTTTTAGTTGAACACGGTACTTAAATGAGTTTTCAGTTTCTTGTTAGGAAACGATTTCGTATATTAAGAAAAAATGAACAAAATATAAGCCCCGCCCACCCACCCCTTCTCAATTGTGATGAATGCTTTATTCATCGTGAGCTGAAGGGCGGAATTTAGCTGCAAAAACCTGTAGAAGAAATTACCATGTGAAATATGTCCTTCAAAGAGTAAAATTTTGCAAAGAAATATGCATTTTGCAATTAAACTTCGACCAATAAAAAAATCATTACAACTGAGACAGGGTGGGTGGGTGGGGCCTATATTTTGCCTTTTCTTCTTAATCTACGTAGTCCTCTTTTCACAACAAGAAATTTAAAACATTCTGAAAATTTTTGTAGGGAAATATGTATTTTGCAGGTACGCTCCGCCCCTTGGTCTGACGTCGAATAAAAAATTCATTATAATTGAGATTGGGACTTTTTTTAGTTATTTAGAGTTTTACTTGAACAACGGTAGTTAAATGAGATTTCGGTTTCTTGTTAGGAAAAGATTTCGTATATTAAGAAAAAATGTACAAAATATAAGCCCCGCCCACCCACCCCCTCTCAAATGTGATGATTTATTTATTCATCGTGAGGCGAGGGCGGAGCTTAGCTGCAAAAACCTCATTTCTCTACAAGAAATTACCATGTGAAATATGTTCTTGACAGCGTAAAATTTTGCAAAGAAATATCCATTTTGCAATTAAACTCCGACCAATAAAAAAAATCATTACAACCGAGACAGGGTGGGTGGGTGGGGCTTATATTTTCCCCTTTCTTCTTAATATACGCCGTCTTCTTTTTACAACAAGAAACTTAAAACATTTTGAAAATGTTTGTAGGGAAATACGTATTTTGCAGGTACGCTCCGCCCCTTGGTCTGACCTCGAATAAAAAATTCATTATAATTGAGATCGGGACTTTTTTTTGGTAATTTATAGTTTTACTTAACAATACGGTAGTTAAATGAGATTTCAGTTTCTTGTTAGGAAAAGATTTCGTATATTAAAAAAAAATGTAGAAAATATAAGCCCCGCCCACCCACCCCCTCTCAATTGTGATGATTTTTTTATTCATCGTGAGCCGAGGGCGGAGCTTGGCTGCACAAACCTCATTTCTCCACAAATAATTACCACGTGAAATATGTTCTTGAAAGAGTAAAATTTTACAAAGAAACTCCGACCAATAATAAAATCATTACAACGGAGACAGGGTGGGTGGGTGGGGCTTATATTTTGCCCTTTCTTCTTAATATACGTAGTCTTCTTTTCACAACAAGAAACTTAAAACATGTTTAAAATTTGTGTAGGGAAATATGTATTTTGCAATTACGCTCCGCCCCTTAGTTTGACAACGAATAAAAAATTCATTATAGTTGAGACCGGGACTTTTTTTTAGTTATTTAGAGTTTTACTTGAACAACACGGTAGTTAATGAGTTTTCAGTTTCTTGTTAAGAAGATTTCGCATATTAAGAAAAAATGTACAAAATATAAGCCCCGCCCACCCACCCTCTCGCAATTGTGATGAAACAAGTTAAAAACTGCTAATTTCCAGCTAATCTGTTTGGGATTTTAGAAAAATTGAACCAAAATACGCAGGTTAGCCCACTGTTAAACTTTCTGAGTAAATTTTCACTTTTATTTCACTACAATTTTTTGTCGTGGTGATGTGTAACGCGATCAACAAGTGTGTAAGGAGCCTACAAATTGGACAGAGGGCACATGAAATAAAACACTAGGTTTGTTCATTGGTAAATAAAAAAAAGTTGCGGTTTTCATGAAAACCACAAAAATACATAAAATAAAAACGTTGACAAGTTTCATGGACAGACTTTTTTCATCATTTTTACCTCAAACACAACTTTTTTGTGTGTTCATTTCATTTTGAAGAAAAGTATTTTGATAAAATATTACGCTACAATGACTACAAGGTCCATTCAAACCACGCAGCATCGAACAGTGTTGCCAAGCACACATTTTCCCCTAGTTGCAAACTAGAAATCCCCAAAATTGGAGGATTGGATTCCAATCGGACAACCCCTTTTCTGACTAGGTATGACTTTTCTGCAAATTGACGTATTGGAAGGGTGAAAGCAAGCTCGTTCTAAGATTTAACTGTATAATATTATCAGAATACACTTCAATTCATAATATCTTGTTAATGCACATCAATAAAAATATCTGATATCCCTAATTAACACAACTTCAGTCAGAAATTTTGATCATGAAAACGAACCTAGCCATCGCAACGCATGAAAACGCCTAACGAGTCGACTCGTGATATGTCAATAAAAAATCCACCACCCCGATAAATAGTGTCTTTAGGTAACAATGGATGAAATAAATAATCATAAAAATAACGCATCGCAAGTAAATACAATTTTTGAACACATCATGTATCCTACATCATTTAATGACAGAGGGCATCGTCTCGCTATACCTAAAAAAATACCACTTTAACCTCGCTCTCGTTATTTACACTTCAATTCCCTAACCTACTCAACTACGATAACCTAAGGAGAGTACAGTCATGGTTATATGGACACGGTTATTGAGCTAATAATACAATTTACCTATTTGGTGGTTACGACCCCCCTCCCCTCAAGCCGGCTTGACGAAACTAGCCGGAAACAACCCCGTCCTCCCCGTCCGCTGCAGCGTGCCCTTGTACCAGCCGTCGTCCCGTTTCTTGTGGACGTAAATCAGGTCGTCCTTCTGCAGCTCCAGCTCGTACTCGCTGTTCGGAGGGTACGGGATCTCGCACCTGAAAAGCTCATGCACGGTTTGCACGCCCGTTTTGGCGCGGTTGCCGGCGTCCAGGGAGTTGGACTTGCGGTGGTGGTGGATGTCCGGGCTGGAGGTGGAGCTCCCGGCGGGATTCTCCGTTCTATAATGGTACTGGCGTGAAATAGGGAACCGAAAGCGGCGGAAAGCGGTCGAGACAGACAATTAAGCGAAAGCAAGCTGTGATGGGTTAAAAGACGTGCAGACACACCTTAAGTTGTGCGTTAGAACGCTGGGACGTTCTTTGTGTTTTAGTCGCTGGGAAGTCGAACCGAAGAGGCGGTGGTGTTCGACCGGCTGGATTTGGAGGAGTTGGCTCGGGCACGATCCGGACCTAGAGGTAAACACTCACTTACATGCACAAGCAAACGGGAAAGGGCGGACCACCAGAAGAACACTTTGGCTTGCCTGGGTCCGCCCCTGGACACAACAGAGGAATCCGAGACAGCCCGACCCATCTCGATTCATGCAGCAGACATTTCCTCGCCCGATTTATTTATCGAATCTGCACACTGTTTCCTGCAGATCGGACGCCAAGTTGAAGCAAAACAGAAAAAACACAAAACAAGCAAAAATTCCAAACGTTTACTTAGCTGTATGTGGAGTTCGTCAACAAATCAAACATCCGATTAACTGAAAACTTAACAAAATAAACTCGTTTCAAGAATAAATTTGGCGCGATTTTAGTACCATTTATCTCCGTTAAAAAGTGAAGCTGTATGTACAGTGGCATTTCTGGCCTTCTCGATCGTTATGCAAGCAAACAAAACAAGTTATTACATGCAAAATGAAAGATTGTTGGGTCTTTTTATACCTGACGTGTACGGGATGGGCCGTAGCGACACTAACTGAGTCTTCGAACACGGGATTATCCATGGAATAGGATGACGGAGGCGGAGACTTGGATCGTTTAATGCTAGTAAGTCTACGCATTAAACCAACAGTACCCTTCTCCTTACGGTCCTTGCACTGCCGGACATAAGCACTCATTTTTATTTTTGTGTGATGTGCGGCCAAACGAGACGTGAATGCATTGGTTAAAATTACGAAGGGCGTTACTGCGTCGCTGCGTGGAGTCACTAAGATCGGACAATTAATGTAAGTGAGCAAAAAAAATAAAAAAATAAAAATCTCAAGAAATTTGTACTATTGAGTCTCACACCATTTAACTAAACTTTAATACTGCCAACTTGACACTTAAAAAATGATTATACCGCGTGATCAGAAATGACTGAGTCCGTTGGTAATTTTGGATTTTTTGTTGAAGTTGGTATTTCGTTTTGTATAATTTTCAGTTGAGTTGTCAAGATTTCTCGCATTTACAAGATACTTTAAATGGTAACTTTTTGTAGAGAAATATCGATTTTGCAATTAAGCTCCGCCCCTCACTCTGACAACGAATGAAAAAATGATCATAATTTAGATTGGGGCGGGTGGGTGGGGCTTAATCATTGGTTTCTTTATCTTAAACATGCAGTTTTCTCCCAACAAGACGACATTTAAGACACGGTAACTTCTTGTAAAAAAATAAGGACTTTGCAATTAAGCTCCGCCCCCGGCTCACAAATAGTAAAAAAAAAAATCAGAATTGAGATTTGGGCGGTTGGGCGGGGCTTATGTTTAGTTTTTCCCCCTTAATACATGTAGTCACCTTGCCATAACAAGAAACTTAAAATGTTTCAAATGATATTTTTTTCTAGAGAAATCTGGGTTTTGAAATTAAACTCCGCCCCTCGATTTAACAACAAATGAAAAATTCATTATAAGTTAGATAGGGGCGGGTGGGTGGGGCTAAATCATTGGATTCTTTATCTTATTAATATATGAAGTTTTCTTTCAACAACATGACACTTACGACATGTTTAACTTCTTGTAAAAAAAATTAATATTTTACAATTAAGCTCCGTCCCTGGCTCACGACGAGTAAAAAACTTAATCACAATTGAGATTGGGGCGGGTGGGTGGAGCTTATGTTTAGTTTTTTTCCCCTTAATACACGTAGTCACCTTTTCATAATAACAAACTTAAAACATGTTTAAAATGATAATTTTTTGTAGAGAAATCTGAGTTTTGAAATTAAACTCCGCCCCTCGATTTAACAACAAATCAAAAATTCATCATAAGTGAGATAGGGGCGGGTGGGTGGGGCTTAATCATTGGCTTCTTTATCTTAATATATGTAGTCACCTTTTCACAACAAGAAACTTAAATTATGTTCAAAATGATATTTTTTTCTAGAGAAATCTGGGTTTTGAAATTAAACTCCGCCCTTCGATTTAACAACAAATGAAAAATTCATCATAAGTGAGATAGGGGCGGGTGGGTGGGGCTTAATCATTGGCTTCTTTATCTTAAAATATGTAGTTTTTTTTTCAACAACACGACTCTTAAGACATGTTTAACTTCTTGTAAAAAAAATTAGGATTTTACAATTAAGCTCCGCCCCTGGGTCACGACGAGTAAAAAAATTAATCACAATTGAGATTGGGGCGAGTGGGTGGAGCTTATGTTTAGTTTTTTTCCCCTTAATACACGTAGTCACCTTTTCATAATAACAAACTTAAAACATGTTTAAAATGATAATTTTTTGTAGAGAAATCTGGGTTTTGAAATTAAACTCCGCCTCTCGATTTAACAACAAATGAAAAATTCATCATAAGTGAGATAGGGGCGGGTGAGTGGGGCTTAATCATTGGCTTCTTTATCTTAATATATGTAGTTTTTTTTCAACAACACGACTCTTAAGACATGTTTAACTCCTTGTAGAAAAAATTAGGATTTTACAATTAAGCTCCGTCCCTGGCTCACGACGAGTAAAAAAATTAATCACAATTGAGATTGCGGCGGGTGGGTGGAGCTTATGTTTAGTTTTTTCCCCTTAATACACTAGTCACCTTTTCACAACAAGAAACTTAAATTATGTTCAAACTGATATTTTTTCTAGAGAAATCTGAGTTTTGAAATTAAACTCCGCCCCTCGATTTAACAACAAATGAAAAATTCATTATAAGTGAGATAGGGGCGGGTGGGTGGGGCTTAATCATTGGCTTCTTTATCTTAATATATGCAGTTTTCTTGCAACAACACGACACTTAAGACACGGTAACTTATGGTAGAAAAAATTAGGATTTCACAATTAAGCTACGCCCCTGGCTCAAGTCGAGTAAAAAACTTAATCACAATTGAGATTGGGGCGGGTGGGCGGGGCTTATGTTTAGCTTTGTTTTCGCTTAATAACCGTAGTCACCTTTATGAAACTTAAATACGTTTAAGATGATACTTTTTTGTAGAGAAATCTTGGTTTTGAAATTAAACTCCGCCCCTCGATTTAACACCAAATGAAAAATTCCCCATAAGTGAGATAGGGGCGGGTGGGTGGGGCTTTCGTGTAGTTTTTTCCCCTTAATGCACGTAGATACCTTTTCACAATAAGAAACTTACAAGTTCAAAATGATATTTTTTTTGTGGAGAAATCTGGGTTTTGCAATTAAACTCCGCCCCTCGATTTAACAACAAATGAAAAATTCATCATAAGTGAGACAGGGGAGGGTGGGTGGGGCTTACCCATTAGCGCCTTTATATTAATGTATGCAGTTTTTCTTCAAAAACAGGACCCTTAAGCCATGTTTCACACGGTAACTTATTGTAAAAAAAATAGGATTTTACAATTAACCTCCGCTCCCGGCCCACGACGAATAAAAAATTAATCACCCTTGAGTTTGGGGCGGGTGGGCGGAGCTTATGTTCAGCTTTTTTTTCCCCTTAATACACGTAGTAACGTTTTCACAACAAAAAACTTAAATCGTGTTTAAAATGATAATTTTTTGTAAAGAAAGCTGAGTTTTGAAATTAAACTCCGCCCCTTGATTTAACAACAAATGAAAAATTCATCACAATTGAGCTTGGGTGGATATGAGTGGGGCTTAATGATTGCAGTTTTTTTTTCCACAACACAACCCTTAAGGCATGTTTCAAACGGTAACTTTTTGTGTAAAAAATTAGGATTTTGCAATTAAGGTCCACCCCCAGCTCACGACGGGTAAAAAAATACTCACAATTGAAATTGGGGCGAGTGGGCGGAGCTTATATTTAGCTTTTATCCCTTGATACACGTAGTCAGTCATCTTTTTACAACAACAAACTTAAAGCATGATTAAAATATTTTTTTTGTAGATAAATCTGGGTTTTGAAATTAAACTCCGCCCCTCGATTTAACAAATGAAAAATTGATCATAAGTGAGGTAGGGGCGGGTGGGTGGGGCTTAATCATTGTCTTATTGTTCTTAACGTACAGTTTTTTTTTCAACAACAGATAATTCTAACCTCAAATTCACCATTCGATATTTTAAATTATTGTTGAAAAAAGAGTATCATTATATATATTACGAAAAGAAAGTCAAAGGATTGAAACTGGGGGACATTCATTTGTCGTTAACAAATCTTTTCTTGTTAACTTTCCTCCTTGTTTAATCGGTATTTTTTTTGAACTGCATATATATATTTTTTTAAAAATCTGAAAATATTATTTCATCACTGGAATTCATATCGCGATCCTGACATTTTTGAGTGCACGACAAAATCGAAACTTAAAAATAAAGATAATGGCGATAAAAAAATACACGTCTTTTTTCACAGCAAAATACGTAGAACATGTTTAAGATTGAAAGTTTTCGTAGAAAAATATCGATTTTGCAATTATGCTCCGCCCCTGATGAAAAATTCATCACAATTTAAATCAGGGCGGGTGGGTGGGGCTTAATCATACTTTTTTTAATCTAAATATGTATATGCAGTTTTCATCCAACAACACGACACGATAAATTCTGTAGAAAAATAAGAAATTTGCAATTAAGCTCCGCCCTCGGCTCACGACGAGTAAAAAATTAATCACAATTGAGACTGGGGCGGATGGGCGGAGCTTGTGTGCAGCCTTTTTTCCCTTAATACACGGAGTCACCTTTTCACAACAAGTAACTTAAAACATGCTTAAAATGATACATTTTTCTAGAGGAATATAGGTTTTGAAATTAAGCTCCGCGGGTGGGGCTTATGTTCAGCTTTTTTCCCTTAATACACGGAGTCATGACAAGTAACTTAAAACATGCTTAAAATGATACATTTTTCTAGAGGAATCTGGGTTTTGAAATTACGCTCCACCCCTCGATCTAACAACAAATGAAAAATTCATCACAAATGGATAAGGGCGGGTGGGTGGGGCTTAATCATTGCCGTATTTTTTTTTAATATAGTTTTTTTTCAACAACAGGTAATTCTAACCTCAAATTCACCATTTGATTTTTTAATGCCCGTTTGCACCAACGTTTAACTCAGATACTTAAAATTTAAGAATTTCTTAAAAGCAACAATGTGTTGCACCAACGTTTAAGTCTTTCTTAACCCTCGGATGCCCAAGCCTGGGTCAAATTTGACCCACGAACCACTTTTTTGCGATTCTTTTCTTCAATCTCTTAAATTTTTTCTCCTGGATTTTATTTTTTGCCTGTTTTGGTATTGTCAACAATATGTGAATATTTTCCGCCACTTGATTTTAGTTACATGATAGTTATCACATATTTGTTGCAGTGGGTCAATTTTGACCGACTTTGGGTCTTCAACTTATAGATGTTTTAACAAGCTGTTAAATGAGTAGGCATGTAATAGATAAACAAAAAGATGGCCTTTTGTTTAGTTTATGAATTTCCTAAACCTTGCGGCCATTAATGCATACATTATATATATAAAATGTAAAACTCAGTTTACAGACCAAGTGTTTCTTGAAGAAGACGATAATTTCTCAAAGAGCTCGGTCTTCAGCTAGTGCAGCCTCCCATTCAGAGACGGGTGGATAATGGATTTAATTGTGTTCCTTAAGGTTTATAAATGGTAATTGGCACTGTAGTTGATACCAAAATAGTTAAAAGGATAGGGAATCCAGAAACGAAAAAAGAGAAAAATGTGGGTTTTATGTCCGTAATGTTAACAAATATTCTGACAAATGCCGACAATGCGGCATTTTTTGTTGCAAGACACAAGTAACAATAGATGTGTTAAAAATCTACCAAAACTGTACACAATAAAACTATCGAATTTTAAGTGTTTAATTGGTGTGTTGTCTTAAACCCTAACTGTTGTTTTTTATAAACAAATATTTCTTTTATTGATATTAATGACAAAAACTTTTGTTTTGTGACTTTTTTCATTAATACACAATAAATAGGCAATTGGAACTTGAAATAATAAAATCTAAAGCAAAATTAGGGTGGGTCAAATTTGACCCAGCTTGGGTGTCTATGTAAAAAAAAATAGCTTGGGCATCCGAGGGTTAAACGGTTCTATGAAATCTTTAATTTAAGCGCCCGTTTACCTAAGGCTTAAATTTGTAAGCAATGCTTAACGAGACACAACGATACAACGCATGTGCGGTACCCATGGTAACAGAACAACACTTTATTTCTATTGGATAATAATTTTGGTGATTACACGAAATCGAAAATTTTCAATTTTGCGACGATTCCATCATTTTTATCAGTGCCCAAAAGTGTATCTGAAGTGTAAAATAAAGTCTTAACAATTTAAAAATGAATATAAAGGTTACAATGTTTTGTTGTAAAGAATAACAGGTTTTTTTCGCGTTCGTAAAAAGTGTAACATTTTTTATTAATTTTTGTTTATAAAGTATACGTTTATTTCATGGCACTAGAAGCGTGTCATAGCGTTTCATTTTTTCACGCATTTAAATGAAAAAGTGTGGTAGCGTGTCATTTTTTAACGGAAGACATTCGTGCGGAAAATTTTCCATCTCGTGAAAAAAATAGACACTTTACTCACTAGTTGCATAAATAACTATTTTTCATATGAACAATAAAAAGCGCCAGAGGGGAGCGAGAAACTACAGTTATTCGAGGCACAACTGAACAAGAATAGAAAGAGAGAAAAAATATGGAATTATAGGTACGAAAGCGAATTTTTAGAGTTAGACATTGAAATAAAAAAGAAGCAGCAAAATAAATTTAAACGTAATAACATGGAAATGTAATAAAATATCAAATTAAAAAGTAATATAGCATACAGTTTCCGACAAAAAATTTCAAACATCACTTTTCTGTCATGTCAAAAATTTTAATGTAGTCTATGCTTTATTGTCATTATTTCGGACAGCTGGAATGTCAAACTTTCAAAATACCTAAACATCTAAAGGTTGCTTTACATTATCTGACGACTGAATGACATTGACGTCTGAAATTTTTTGGCGGCAACTGTAGACTTTGTTAATATTATGAATTTCCCAAAAAAAAGTTATAAAAGTTCTTCTAAATTCATTTCCCGTCCCCCGGTTTTGAACAATATTGACCTGGTATTTGACTATCTTCTAAGCCCACTTTTTATTAAACATCTAACCAACGTTAGAGAAAATAAATATCAGCACTATTCGAACTACACACGTACAAACTAACCTAAAATATTTGATGTTTCTATACAAACAAGCGTCAGTGTTGCCAATAGAAATGAAACCTTTACACAATTCCCCAACTAAGTATTACTTGGTTAAGTAGAGTCTAAGCGGTGACGGTGCAACAACTGTACAATTTAAGAAGTAGTTACTTTTAAGAATTGCTTAGCTAAGCAATGCTTACCGCTTAAAGTTATTGCTGAAAAAATAAAAAAAAAATTAAAGATGAACTGACAGCTGGTGTAAATATTTGAATCGTTCGTAAAATATTCATTCTCTGAAAATTTGTCGGAAAGAGTGTCAGTTTCTTCCTGGTTTAATCGACAATTTTTTTTACTAAAATCTGAGGATTTTATTCTACTACTAGAATTCATATCGCGAGCCAAACAGAGTTTTGTTGTATTTTTGAGCACATGACAATAAGCGAGACTTAAGTGAGAAATAGAATTTTAGAAAAGGTGTTAGAAGTTCCAAAGTTTTTATGGTAATTTTAAGATTATTATTAGGTATCATGAAAGAAATAACCAACAGGAATTGCATAGTTGGTACTTAAGCCACTCATAACATAACCTAGCATTTTATTCGCCATGTGTACTGTATCCCCATTTCAATTTCCACAGAGCGCATGCGATCTATTGTTTTTTTTGAATTTGAAATTTCGGCGTACTTTTTTGCTGTAATTTTGCATGACATCCAAAATAAAAATGGCTTTTTCATCGTTATTTTCAGTGTCCTGGGAAATTTTGTCTAGAGATTTTAAATGTTCATTATTTTTTAATTTTCTACCTGAAGATTTTTAATTGACGCAAACAATTTACATATTTTTGCGTCATTAATCTCTTTAATTTTGAACCGAGAACTTTGCAATGGTACCTAAGATACCTACGATAAGACGCAGTCATTTCTGATCATGCGGTATTAAAGTGTTTACCATCTCAGGGTATTTCTGTAATAAAGAACGCAAACTAATTTTTCCTCTGAAAAAAAATCCCGACCGCCTAACAGTAGTAATTAACACAGAACTATCATGTTGAGAGGAATTCTCGGCCTCAGGACTTCTCCGTTTCGTCTTTAATTAATACAGTAAACTTAGTTTCGCGAGTCACGCCGCGACGCAGCTACACACCTCCCGTCATTAAAAACTCGACTACTTCATAAATTTTATTAAAACAAATCTCAACCTCGCAAAAACTCCAACCAGTATTGGTAACACACATGAAAACACGAGCACGTCACAGCACCCACAACAGAAAGAAGCACCCAGTGAGACAAACAATGAAACAAACCTTGTCGGCGGGCTTGGCCGTCGCGCTACCCAGCCCCAGCGTCGTGTTCACACCGGACATAACAGCGCTACTACTGCGTCCCAGAGGCACGGCGGCATTATCCTGCTGTCCATGCCAGCTGGACGAAATAGTATTGGTTGCGTTTGCAGGACTAACAGAACGTGGCGGCAGCTCGGGGGGCAAATTGTTATAGGTTTGGCGTGGCGAGGACACACTTTTGCCACTCCGCGTGAAACTTACGGCAGCTTTCGCGTCGGGCGGGCCGCCGGCCGCCGCGGCCGCCTTGGCCACCGGCGCCACGTAGTTCCCTGGAAAAACTCCGCACTTTTGGGTACGATTCGACGTACCCTTGTACCAACCGTCTTGGCAGCGCTCCGTCACCACGTAGATGGCGCCCTTGCGCAGCTCCAGCTCGTCGCCCTTCTGCGGCTTGTACGGGTACAGCGCCACGTACGGCGCCGGCAGCTTCACCTCGTCGGGCCGCTTCGGGTCGACGCCGACGATCTCGGCGGAGTGCCGGTGCGCGGCCTTGTTGAACGGCACGGGCGTCAGCCCGGTGAAGCTGTGCCGCTTCTCCTTGTTGGACGCCGGATTCGGCGAGCGCTGCGGGGTGCTGCAGGCGGTGGGGTTCAGCAGCAGGTCGGGCTTCCTACGCAAAAAACCCGTCCGAATAAATTCTACGAGAGACTTCGTACTGTCTTACTGGACCAGCGTTCTGGCTAGCGGCTGCTGCGTCCTCGGCGGCGGCGACGCGGGCGACGACGGCGCCGTGCTCGAGTTAGAGGACGTGTTGCTGGAGGAGACGTTGGGCGTGGTGGTGGACGAGCTGCCCGAGCTGACCGTGGAGCTGGAGTCGGAGGTGGCCAAGACCTGGTGGACGGGCGCCGGTTGGACGAACAGGGCGTTCTGTTGGGGCTGTTGCGGCACGATCGTCCGCGAGTGGTCCGTGGGTATTAAAGGCGTGCTGTCCTCCGTCGTGGGCGTCGGGGGCGCGACGCGTGAAGGTCCCGGCTGCTCGCTAGAATAGGAGAGTGCGTTTATTTAAGTGTGCTATTTTGGCTCGCTCTAAATGCAATCGAGCGAATACTTGCTTTGTGGATAGCTTCATCAGGGAGCGTGCCAGGTTGTTCAGCTCGACGAATGTCAGAGGGAAGATGCCGATCCGGCCGTCGAGCTTGCCCTCAGCCCAGTTCTCGTCGACGCGCCGGATCACGTTGATGATGTCGCCCTCCTTGAAGACGAGGCAGCCCTCCTCCTCGTGCTTGTCGGTTTGGAAGTCGTAGAGAGCCTTGCATTGGGGGATGTGGCTGGGCAGGGGGGTGATGATCTAAACAAACAAAATTTTCATGACGAATCCAAATGTTTCCGGAAAGATTGCCGTAGTTAGTAATAATAATAATGATAGTGAGAGACTGATGATTACCTGGACGTAAGTAAGGGGAAAAAGGCCTTGCTTTCCGCCGCATTCGCCTTGATACCAGTGGGCGTCGATGCGTTTCTTGAGGAAAATGATGTCGCCGCGTTTAAAACTTAAGTCTCTGAAATAAAGAAAAAATTCTAAATTATTGAATACCGGTCATTTCTGGGTCCTAAGTTAACAAAAATTTGGTCGACAAATCCCGCTTCTCTGAAAAATTATAATTTTTTTGTGATTTTTGTTTTCTGATAACCTCTATAACGTAAAAACTCTACCGCAGCTTTCAATTTTTCGTTTCATTTTTTTTTGTTTCTTCAGTTTTTCGATTTGCAATTTTTCTAGTTTTCAAGTTTAAAAAATTTGCCAGTGAGTCTTTCAATTTTCAAATTTTGCAATTTTTCGATTTGAGTTTCCCCGTGTTTTCAATTTTTAATTTTTCAATTTTTCGTTTTTGTTTATTTTCTTGTTTCTTCAGTTTTTAGATTTTGAAATTTTTCGATTTAAAATTTCTCGAGCTTTCACTTTTTAATTTTTCTTTGTTTCGATTCCTTGTTTTTTCATTTCTTCAAATTTTCGATTTGCAATTTTTCGTTTTGAATTTTTATTTTCTTTATTTTTCAAATTTTCCAATTTTTCAATGTTCTAATTTTACAATTTTTGTTTTTTCAATTTAAATTTTTTCAATTTTTCGTTTCTTCATTGTTTTTTCGATTTTTAAGTGTTTTGATTTGCATTTTTTCAATTTTTAATTTTTTTTTGTTTCTCCAGTTTCACGATACGCAACTTTTCGATTTAGTAAGCCAATCAGTAAGTCAGTCAGCTTGGTCATTAAATTAATCAGTCAGTCGGTCAGTCAATCAGTCAGTGAATTAGCCAGCAGTCACTCAGTCTCCCAGTCAGTCAGTCAGTCAGCAGTCACTCAGTCTCCCAGTCGGTCAGTCACGCAGTTTCACGAGTTTTCAATTTTTTGAATTTTAAATTTTTTGATTTTAAACTTTTCGATTTTTAATTTTTCAATTTCTTGGTATTAATTTTTCAATTTTTCGATTTTACAATTTTGACGATTCTATAATTTTTCGATTTTACAATTTTTGGGTTTTTCAATTTTTTGATTCGATTCGTTTTTCTCTTTCCCAATTTTTTGATTCAGTATTTTTTTTTGATTTTCAAGTTTCTCCACTTTTAGGTTTTTTAGTTTCAATTTTTCGTTTCTTCCGTTCTTCGATTTGCAATTTTTCGATTTTCCACTTTTTCGATTTTTCAACTTTTTGAAAAATTGCAGAATTGTAAAACCAAAATGAAAACACGAAAAAGTATAAAATGAAAAATCTAAAAATTGATAATCAAGATCTTGAAAATCTGAAGAAACTAAAATTAAAAAAATCGAAAGATCAATAATAATCAAAAACAGGGTCGGCCAGTCAGTGAGACAGTAAATCAATCATTCACTCACTCACTCACTCACTCAGTCAGTCGATCAGTCACTCAGTGAGTCGATGAGGCACTCCGTCAGCCAGTCAGTCATTTAGCCATTCAATCATTCAATCACTCAGTCATTCAGTCACACAATCAGTAGCTCAGTCAGTGAAATAGTAAATCAATCTTTCAATCATTCCTTGATTCATTCACTCAATCAGTCAATTAGTCACTCTGTAAATCAGTCAATTAATCAGTCACTTAGTCAGTCAGTAACTCAGTTTCTCAGTCAGTCACTCAGTCAGTAACTCAGTTTCTCAGTCACTCTATGAGTCACTCAGTTTCTCAGTTAGACAGTCAGTCAGTCAGTCAGTAAGTCATTCATTCGTTCATTCAGTCAGTCATTCATTCGTTCATTCACTCACTCAGTTGGTTGTTCAGTCACAGTTTCACGAGTTTTCAATTTTTCGATTTTACAATTTTTGGGTTTTTTAATTTTTCGATTCGATTCGTTTTTTCTTTCCAATTTTTCGTTTTATTATTTTTTAGATTTCTAAGTTTCTCGATTTTTAGTTTTTTTAGTCTCAATTTTTCGTTTCCTCCGTTCATCGATTTGCAATTTTTCGATTTTCCACTTTTCCGATTTTGCAAATTTTGGTTTTTTCAGTTTTTCATTTTTTCCGATTTTTCAACTTTTTGAAAAATTGCAAAATTGTAAAATCAAAAATGAAAAAACGCAAAAGTATAAAATGAAAAATCTAAAAATTGATAATCAAAACCTTGAATTATTGAAGAAACTAAAATTTAAAAAATCGAAAGATCAAAACTCAAAAACACGGTCGGTCAGTCAGTGAGCTAGTGAATCAATCAATCATTCATTCACTCACTCATCACTCAGCCGATCAGTCGCTCTGTCAGTCGATCAGTCAGCCGAACAGTCACTCAGGCAATCGATTGGTGACTCAGCCAGCCAGTCATTTAGCCATTCAATCACACAATCAATCAGTCACTCGGTCAGTCGTTCACTCACTCATTCATTCATTGACTTACTCACTCACTCAGTCAGTCGATTAGTCAGTGAGTCAGTGAGTCAGTCGATCAGTCAGTCCGTCAGTCGATCAATCAGTCGATCAGTCACTCTGTAAATGAGTCAATTAATCAGTCAGTCAGTCGGTCGGTCATTCACTCAGTCAATCGATCAGTCAGTCAGTCTGTCAGTCGATTAGTCACTCTGTAAGTTAGTCAATTAGTCACTCAATCAGTCAGTAATTCAGTTTCTCAGTCAGACAGTCACTCAGTCAGTCAGTAGGTCAGACAGTCACTTAGTCAGTCAATTAATCAATCAGTCACTCAGTGAGTCAATTAATCAGTCACTCAGTAACTCACTTTCTCAGCCAGATTGGCATTCAGTCAGTTGATTAGTTACTCTATGAGTACCTTGAAAAATTGAAGAAACTAAAATTAAAAAAAAATCGAAAGATCAAAAATCAAAAACCCGGTCGGTCAGTCAGTGAGACAGTAAATAAATCATTCATTCATTCATTCATTCACTCACTCACTCACTCAGTCAGTCAGTCAGGCGATCAGTTACTCAGTCATTTAGCCATTCAATCGCTCAGTCATTCAGTCACTTAAACAATCAGTCACTCAGTGGCTCAATCAGTCAGACACGCAGTCAGCCAGCCAGTCAGTCACTCGGTCACTGGTTCATTCACTCATTCATTCAGTCACACAATCAGTCGCCCAGTCCGTGAAATGGTAAATCAATATTTCAATCATTCATTGATTCATCCACTCAGTCAGTTAATTAGTCACTCTGTAAATCAGTCACTTAGTTAATCAGTAACTCAGTCTCTCAGTCAGACAGTCACTCAATCTGCCGATCAGTCACTCTATGAGTCAGTCAGTCAGTAAGTCATTCATTTATTCAGTCAGTCATTGACTTAGTCAGTCGGTTGTTCAGTCACACAGTTTCACGAGTTTTCAATTTTGCATGTCTTCAATATTTTGCTTTCTAACTTTTCGATTTTTAATTTTTCAATTTCTCAGTATTAATTTTTCAATTTTTCGATCTTTCAATGTCACAGTTTTTCGATTTCATAATTTTGACGATTCTATAATTTTTCGATTTTACAATTTTTGGGTTTTTCAATTTTTCGATTCGATTCGTTTTTTCTTTCCAATTTCTCGTTTCATTATTTTTTCGATTTCTAAGTTTCTCGATTTTTAGTTTTTTTAGTCCCAATTTTTCGTTTCTTCCGTTCATCGATTTGGAATTTTGCGATTTTCCACTTTTTCGATTTTGCAAGTTTTGGTTTTTTCAGTTTTTCAACTTTTTGAAAAATTGCAAAATTGTAAAATCAAAAATGAAAAAACGCAAAAGTATAAAATGAAAAATCTAAAAATTGATAATCGAAACCGTGAAATATTGAAGAAACCAAAAATTTAAAAAATCGAAAGATCAAAAATCAAAAACACGGTCGGTCGGTCAGTGAGCTAGTGAATCAATCAATCATTCGTTCACTCAGTCACTCACTCAGCCGATCAGTCGCTCTGTCAGTCGATCAGTCAGCCGATCAGTCACTCAGGCAATCGATTGGTGACTCACCCAGCCAATCATTTAGCCATTCAATCACATAATCAATCAGTCACTCAATCAGTCGGTTAGCCAGTGAGATAGTAAATCAATCATTCATTCATTGACTTACTCACTCACTCAGTCGATCAGTCAGTCAGTCAGTCGATTAGTCAGTCAGTCAGTCGATCAGTCAGTCGATCAGTCAGTCAGTCAGTCGATCAGTCACTCTGTAAATCAGTAAATTAATCAGTCAGTCAGTCAGAGAGTCGATCAGTCAGTCAGTCGGTCATTCACTCAGTCAGTCTGTCAGTCGATCAGTCAGTCACTCAGTCAGTCGATTAGTCACTCTGTAAGTTATTCAATTAATCACTCAGTCAGTAATTCAGTTTCTCAGTCAGACAGTCACTCAGTCAGTCAGTGGGTCAGACAGTCACTTAGTCAGTCAATTAATCAATCAGTCACTCAGTGAGTCAATTAATCAGTCTGTCAGTAACTCACTTTCTCAGTCAGATAGGCACTCAGTCAGTTGATTAGTTACTCTATGAGTACCTTGAAAAATTGAAGAAACTAAAATTAAAAAAAAATCGAAAGATCAAAAAACAAAAACCCGGTCGGTCAGTCAGTGAGACAGCAAATCAATCATTCATTCATTCATTCATTCACTCACTCACTCAGTCAGTCAGTCAGTCAGGCGACCAGTCACTCAGTCATTTGATGAGTCACTCAATCAGCCAGTCAGTCATTTAGCCATTCAATCGCTCAGTCATTCAGTCACTTAATCAATCAGTCACTCAGTGGCTCAGTCAGTCAGACACGCAGTCAGTTAGCCGATCATTCAGCCAGTCAGTCAGTGAGATAGTAAAGATGTCATTCATTCATTCACTCAGTCAGTCACTCACTCACTCAGTCGGTTGTTCAGTCACGCAGTTTCACGAGTTTTCAATTTTTCGATTATTCAATTTTTCATGTCTTCAATTTTTTGATTTTTAGCTTTTCGGCTTTTAATTTTTTAATTTATCGGTATTAATTTTTGAATTTTTCGATGTCACAGTTTTTCGACTTTACAATTTTAACGATTCTACAATTTTTCGATTTTACAATTGTTGGGTTTTTCAATTTTTCGATTC